GTATCCAGAAACAGATAGAAGCAACTCACATCATTTCAACATGCACTGCTTTGGGTATCTGTCAACAGATTTTTGAGGTTTTTTAAACCAGTAACCACTTATTCATAATGGACATTCAGAGGAAGGTAAATTACCACCTTGTGAGAAAGGAGAAGATTATGAGCTTCATTCACTACTGCAAAGACATTCAATGCCTGGTATGGAAGAGAGCACAGAGTAGCTAAGCATAGTTAATCAAGATTCAAAAAGCAAAGTAGAGAACTCCAATATTCTCCCTTCTCTCCTATTCACTGGGGAAAAAAGAGCACTAATCTACCACTAAATGCAGAATCAAGAAATGATTCCCTTTTCCCTCCCTCTCTCCTCCCTTCCCCCAGCTCCAAAAGCAGAATGTGCATAGGAGGACTTCCCGTACTGAGTGTAGCACCTGTGTAATTACAAATTACAACTATGCTATCCACTGTACTAAACAGAGATACTTCCCACTTAATTAAACCCTTTCTTGGAGAGGAAATGCATGCACATTCACACTATCTCCTCTTCTTATCTGGTCTCAGACACTGCAGGAAGTTAGGCCCCAAGATTTGTCAGCCAGCCAGCCCACAGATGTTTCCACAAGAAACCCAGGTCACCCAGGCTCCACTGAGTGAAAATGGTCCTTAAGCATTGGCCTGAATTCCTGTTAAATATGCACTTCTCTTTCCAGACCCAGGCAGCAAATACACAAACAGCTAGAGCAGCTTAATGTACTATCATCAGTGAAGCCAACTGAATCTACCCTTGCAAACTGAAGGACGACTATAGGTACTCTCCAAACTCATGCTTCATTAAACCAAGAGTTCCTCCAGGTCAGCCTTACACCAAGGCGCCAAGATCTCCCTTCCAATATAAATAACTGCAACTAGACGTGACTCAAGAATGTCCAAGACCATCCCTGGAGCCCCTGAGCAACACAGCGTTGTTCAAGCACACTGCTTTTCTTTCTGATATGTCAGGCTTGCATTTAACTTCCATACTGTATTCCATGGCCCTTCACAAAAAGAGAGCTGATCTGTCTAATGCTTCCCTGTGATGGGCACGGAAAACAGGAATACGATTCTGAAGATATGAACAAAATCTTTTGCTTTATCTTCCATAAATATGTGTAACCTTTCAGCAAAACTCCAGTCTTTTAAGACTTGAAATATTCTGCCAATTACGCATGAATACAAAGACAAATTCAGCATTAAACCTTGTCAGCTACTATCACTGACTATCAATATCTTCAGTGTCCAACTTACTATCTCATCTTTAAAACATAGCAGATACATCCTGGAGTGCAGAATGATGCAAAATGATGTGTACCTGTTTATGGATAGCAAAGTCACCTGTCTAATTTATTAGAGGACAAAGGCAATACCAGTCAAAACAACAAGCAGCAGCAAAAAAATCTTATTTAGATGTAAAGCTCACAGAATAAGAAACCTCCTTTTTTGGGGTATCTTCTATATGCTGCAGAAGGGAAAGTCAAACAGTAACAGTGCTGCTCTGGAGGATGCAATTTTAAGGTTTGGGGTGGGTGGAGAAGAACCAGGCTTTGAAGAACTCTTACTAAACAAGGCTAAGTGTGTGGTGTAAATATGAAGTTTACAGAGCTGGTCTGAAAAACACTCTACTCTGTATGCCATTAGAGAAATGTGCACAAATCTTTTTCACACCAAGTTACTACCCAACGTACTGGACAAGGAGACAGCGATTGCATATATGCAGCATTGATAGCAACATTCCTTACACTCACTGACCCTTCCTGAGAGCCCAGCTGATGATTTTACATCAGGCTGAGCCTGCCAGACTGGAGCGGAAATCCAGTTTTCTCCAGCAGCAGGAGAAAGGACACCACCTCATCGATGATTTTACGTGCCATCATCCACATAAAGCACCTGCCTCCTCTCACACACAGCCTTCCCCAGGGATTTTTTGGTTAAAATACATGTTGTTTAATGACACTTAATAAACTACCTGGGAAATACCTCCAAGCTAATAGTAGAACTCTAAAAAAAACAACCACTCCTGTCATGTTCTTCAGTGAAGATGGTCAACAACTCTATTACACAAATACTAGACCTTGAAGAAATACAAACTACATCAGCACATTCCAGAGGAACAAGAGTATAAGCTTATTTTCCCAATGCAACTCTTTCTTAATAACAAAGTCCTACAATATCCATACATGAATGTCCTCCTCCAGGGGAGTCAACCCCAAAACAAGGAAGACTTTCTACTTGCAAAGCAAGAATTTCAAAATTCAGCATTTTTTTTTTCTCCTTTTACAGTTGAAACCAAATCCTACAGCAGGAATATGAAGTCAGAGCAACACAGGACAAATGTATGAAAACCCCTGGCAGCGTAACAGTAACTCACAAAAAAAGACCTACAAGACAAAAATCCCATCCACTATAAGAGACAGCGAACTATAGCAGGGAAGTAGGCAGTAAGAAGATCAAGATCCTAAAAGGACTTATAACTGACCACAAAAAAAGATTAGGACATGCATAATGTGCATACACAAACCAAACATAACTACAATGTGTATTAATTTATCATCTGAGTATTGTGGAGCTTACGAGGATATTATAACAATTGTATAAGGCAGGTATAATTCTAAAGGCAAATTCTGGACAGAAGATTGCACAACAGAACACAACACACCAACATGCTCTAGAGCTAAAGCTGTCTTTGCTGCTATGGTTTATGAGCACAAGAAGAAAACCCAGGAGCTTACAAGTGGAATCCAGAACCAGAAAAACCTAAGATTAGCCTTTGAGTAAACTGTTAATGAACTTGTTTCCGCCTACGAAAAGGGAAGCATTATAAACACTTTGCTCTTTTATTGTTATCAAAAACAGACCAGTACTAAAGCCAGTAGGATTACCACTACGCTCCTAAAAGCTGCACCTCCTTTCCAAGTATTATCACACAAACTTACGCTCCGACGTCTGATCATAAGCCAATCTGACAAAAAGCCTGCTGGGACCAGGCAATCAGTGAACAGAAACCACTGAGAGCAGACACAGAGCAAGCCCTGTGGAAGTGCTGGAGGAAATTAAAAACCATCCTCTCCTAAAACACCACACGCTGTACATGCTTAACTTACATTCTCTGTATCAATAAAGAGTATGATTAAGATGCATTTCCCTTCTTCCTTGCTCATCGAGTTATTAACAAACAGCATATTGCTCTGCGTCTTTGGGACAACTATCCAACTTGCTCCTGTTTTCTTCTACTATGAGATGGGCAACTAACTCTTCTCTTGATAATTTTAAGGGTCTTTTCCAACCTAGCTGATTCTATGCTTCGCCAACAGTATACTCCAGGAACTTGACTAGGACAATGATCTCTCATCATCTTCATCAATCCTGACTCAGAAGCAATGTAATTCATGATGTAAGAAATCTAAGCAACAACAAGAAAGAGGGGGGAAAAAAAGAGGGAGAAGGAAATCATCCAGCTCCACTTGCTACAATTTCATGCAAAAGATGGTTCTTCTCAGGAGCAATTCCCTCCTCTGTAAGAGAAGACGCCATTAATAGCACTAAACAATATGGCCCAATCAAAGCCTAGCACTTTCCAGTGAATATTCTGATTTTAAATGAAGGAGTTATTAGACTTCCACAGGCAGAATCACTTGGTTCCATTTCTCTCCCAGTGTGAAATTACCTCATTAAACCTTTAACAGCTTGAGGTAAGTAAAAAGCTTTTACTCTGCTGTCTGATAGCACACGTTTTGTGAAAAGGATTCATACTATTTCTGGCCTTTCCTTGCCATAGGAGAGGCAGCACAATTCTAACTCCATCTAAATGTATGTATCCTCAGTAGAGGCAGGAGAGGATCTCAGTCATAATAGCATGGCGCCACAGAAAGATTCATTGTCTTCATTAAACAGAAAACAGTGAGAAAACTAAGGGAGCTTTCCCAAGTTAAACACAAGTATTTTCTACATGAAGCAATAATGTGCCCAAACTATAGGTGCATATTCAAATGCTCCTGCTTCCAAACAATCCCAACAGTCTGCAAATATAACTCTGGTTTTGGACACATGTAACGAATGGAATAATGAAACAACTAGTAAAGTTAGGTTCTGCGGTTCATGTTGCAGCTCAGGCCTTGATCCAGTATGAAAAGTGATCTGTACTAGAATGCTGCTATCAACACAGTTATTTACAAAGAAGCAGTTCTCCTAGTGTAACAAGAATGTAAGCATTTAGAGAAGATAAAGCAGTGTTGAAGCAGGACACATGAAGGCATGGTTACACAGAAAACCTCCTGCAGTGGAAGAAAATGATCAGAAAATGCACCATTTCCAGCCCCTCCCTATACCACATACATACCAGAGATCTTAAAAAATCTGGTTCAGTGCTCCACATGTCAGAAAGCTGTTAAGTAACAGTACCCAAACTGACAAGCTTCTGTTACAAAACATCATTGGAGGGGTGAAGAGTTTTCCCCATTTTATAAGAAGCTGAGTTTATTCCATTTCTCATTAGTCAAAACAGTTCTTCAGCTGCTTTAGGGAAGAAAAGTCACCACAACATGATCTGGCAGTTTATTTTGACATCCAGATTTCAAAGAAATCATATTTACAGCAATTTGTCACAAAGATCTTGTCAACACAGATTCTTTTCTCTGAACACATCCTAATATTCTTAAGAGTTTGCTTACTAAACTAGCAGAGTCTCTAACTAAACATGAATGCTTATACACAAGGAGTTCAGAGAACTCAAAACTGAGCCTTAGAGACATTGTCAGGCTGACTTGGTGAAAAACAATTGCTAGCTCCCAAAGGTACTCTATAACAGTGTGTATCCTATGATTTTTCTTATATATAATAAAGTACTGGAAAAATCTCCACATGAAGAAGAGTTAGCAAGAAACATGACCAGCACACTGCAAGGATCAGATGATTCAGAGGAAAGGAAAACCACCTGAAACTGTACTTCTCTGCAGAGCTGTGAGCACATACCTGATGTTCAAGCCGGTGCTCTGGTCCACTCTCTCCCAGCTTTTTAATTTTCCCAGAAGTTTCTGAAGTAGAGATCAAAAGAAGAGTTAGAGACACAGAAAAATGTTCTAACAGCTCATTTTCCACAGTTTTCCCATAATCCTCCATTCAAAGTCAATGTCTTTTCCTCCTGTGGATTTCATTATCTTCTTATCTAGCATTTCTAGTTGTCATTCCCCATTCCTCACAAACATTTTCCCTGTCACCACAGCTCTATGACACACAGAATCTATGTTACACTTCAAATAACCCTGTGAGTTACCATCAGTGTACTAGACTTTGGTAGACTCCTGGCAGTGGAGAAGTAAACAAGCTGTATTCTCAACACCAATCCTGTAGTAGCTGAAGTGCCTACTTCTCCTCCTCCAGTTTCTCCTCTAGCTTTTTACTTTTAGTCTATGCCAAATTGTATAATCTAAACCTGATCAGACACCAGTATAGTTACGCAGATCAATAGGTTCACAGCAAGGTTAATCTCTTGACAGCTTGCTGTCTGACTAATACAGGGTGGGATGGAAGCAAAGTCATTTTATTCATCTGAGACCACACTCTGGCCCCGCGGGCACTGGCAGTAATCTAAGTGCCTAGCAAGGTTCTTACCACACGTCTTTTCAGCAACACCGTATCTGAGCAGAGTTTAACACCAAAAATGACATTTCTAGCGGAAGAGAGGCAAGAAACAAACAGCAAGGCCAAAAAAGACACTATTGAGGAGATAGTTCTTTACATGAAATCTCCAGCTGAACAGCAGATTAACCTTTTGCATTTGTCACCTTTATTGCCATAGCTCCTCTCATGCTGACATTCAAGTCTGGGAATGCCTGGTTGGAACACATTAATTAAAACAAGTATCTCATCTCAAGTAAAAAATACAGGAAGAGCCTAAAAGACAGGACAGGCAACAAAGGAAACCTCTACCTGCTCACCCACCAAACATTCCCAGCTGCTCACCTCATTTTCCAATTCAACGGTCGCGAGCTGCGCTTGGACTTTCTCATAGCGTTCCAGTTTTCTCTGGAGACCTTCTACCTCCTCTTTGAGCAACCCATTGTTTTCTTTCATTTCCCTGTGGTGAAAAAGAGAAACAATAATTAAAGAGCCAAGCAACTCAACTCACCCACACGAACTTCTGGATACACCTGGAATGACACTGAACAGACTTCATGGCATTCAACTGACTCGCTTCTATAACCCTCACTGCAAAGCCACTGCTACAACAGAAATTCAGCGCTATTAAACTGGGCTTTTTCCTACTCTTAAGTGCCACCCTCATTACGTCCAAAGAACCTGAAGTTTCGTATCTGCTTCACTGATTGGCAAAACAGCATGAAGGGTAGCAAAAGACTCCCTACTCCAATCTTCAGGCAGGCTGAACACAAGCTGTAACACAGCAAGTGGCAGACACTGGGGCTTTCTGAGTGCTCTGTGATGGCTGAGTATGTTTGACACTGCTTAAGGTGTGCAAGGCTGAGAAGATAAAACTGTTTGTAAAAAATGACCTTTAATTTGTTGATAGCACATTTCTGCGCACAAAACACCCAAGCATGAGAAAAGATTCCAAGATAACCGATTTAAAATTATAATGAAACAAGAACAAAAACAAAGCCAAGAGATTTAATTTTAGGATAAGAAAATGCTGGTAAGGTCAGGCATGTAACTCAAGGGTTTTTATCTAAGATACACCAAAAGATGGGAATTAAGTTTACTTTAACAAAAGAAAATAAAAATCTCTAAGGCAACTTATTTCATAGTTCACAGGAATTTAATATTTCAAACTAATTGCCACTTCAGAGACCCAGGTCTGTATCAGAATGCTTTAGACACTTAAACAAAACTTTCCAAACATGATGCTGGAACACCAGGCCTCTAAAGCAGTGGCAACAATAACTAAGCAAAAAGAGTTATTAAAGTGATCACTCTATGCTCTACAGGGATTCCTTTCCCAAAGCTGTACAGAGCTCATCGCTATCTTTAAACACTGAGTTTTGTTCTAACAAACAGATGACAGAATATATCTAACAAACATTCAGAACAATCAATACACATTCTGTGAGGCTCTCACTGTGTTTAGGGAGATCACTCACATCCTGTCAAATCCTCTGGTAGCCATCACAACCTGCTCAATTCAGACCCAGTAGTTATAGGTAACATTTAAGCTTCCTTCTAAAGTTTCCCATATGGAAGGGACAGAGGGATTTGAAAGTACACATAGTGCAAATGTAGCAGGTACAGAATCATAGAATAGTTAGGGTTGGAAAGGACCTTAAGATCATCTAGTTCCAACCCCCCTGCCATGGGCAGGGACACCTCACACAGGCTAACACTCCCAACAATTGAACCCTTCTTTCACCTGAAGTAGGCATTTTCCTCCTTGAGTTGGCGCAATTCCCGCTCCATTTTTGGCAGACGAGCCAGTTCTGTCTTCATGTTCTTGACAATTAAAGCATCATGTTCCTGCTGGGAGAGCTTCTGTTCCAGATCCTAGAAAATATGGGATGGCAAGAGGACAGCAACGATTAACTTGGAACTCATAAGAGCTATTCCTCCACTGCAATTTTTAAACTCAAATCAATGACTTGCATGACATTGGAAGGGAAGTCAGTGGGTCATCTGGCCCAATCCATCACTCAAAGCAGGGATAACTCTCGTTCCACCTGTAACACCTGGGCTGGCCTCTTCCCTACACCTATGTACCTTAAGTTCCTAACAAAACAAGATCTCCACTAATCATTAAAAAGGACCCACTTCTAGTGAACATTTTGCAGGGCAATCTTGTGCTCTGCCACAAGATCAAACAGTGTTCCTGTCGAGCACTGCAGAAGGATATAAATCACCTTTCTATTGAGAAAGCATAGGTAGATGCTTTTTCTCAATCAATTGATACAACAAAGATGAAGTGTTTCATGTTACAGTTAATCACAAGTAGTCTGGACCACCTAAGTCAATTTAGCCAAATTCAGCTCTTGCTGGCCACCTGATCAGATTCATACACGACAAACTAATGTCTTATTTCTGCAATAGTATTTATATTTAGAAAAACACTGTTCTGTTCTTCCATGGGAGAGATTAAAAACTAAAGCTTTATATAGCCCACAGAATTTCTTACCTTAATCTTCTGTTCATATTCTGCTAGATGGGATTGGTTTGCTTGCAACATCTGAATTTGCTGACAAGCTTCTTGCCATTTTCTATTAGATGTACATACAAGAGGCATTTAGCACCCAGGAATCACATACCAGAAACCATCTACATGCAGAAGTATCTTTGACAAACATTTTCAAACGCTATTAACGAGGTATATGGTACTGTTACAGCAGATTGACTCTCTCAGAGTTTCACACGCATACCGTCTCCCTCTAATTTAGACAGAAAAATACTAATTTTAATAAAAACATGCATCTTAAGAAACAATCAAAAATTAAAGCCACCTTAACTTTGAAACCAGCAAATACACACCCAAAGTAAATAAAGAGCACCTTTGAAACTGAGGAGTTGAACTTAGTAAACAAGTTAAAAAAAAAACCAACACACTCATACCTTTCAGCTACCCCTCAACTAGGAGTTAAAGCTTGGTATTTTTGTTCTGTTCAGCCTATAAAGTTCAGATTAGCCTTTCCCACCCACATGCCTTCTGCTAACTCTCTACCATGAACATGAGACATCACTGAGATTTTAAGTTCAAGTTTGGGTTTTTGTTGTTTTTTTTTTCCTCAAGGTACAATTAAATCGCACCTCAGAGCTAGTTCCAAACAACGGTTATAACCTGCACATCCAGATCAAAGAACCCCTTTGAAGATCGGAAATCAAACGCTGTGGAAAGTTTTCTGAGTGACAACAGCTACAGAAGACTGAAGTTTTGTTTGCCTTTTTCTCCCTAGTCACTGATCCCCTGCTTACTTATGTTGAACATCCAGCTGTTCCATCAGTTCCTGCTTCTGAGAGTCTTGGCTTGTCATCTGCATCTCTTGATTCATTTTACTCCATTGCAGTTCTGAGATTTTCCCTTTTAATACAGTGATTGTCTGAAGTAATGGAAAGAAAGAATAAACACAGAAGGCTATGACTCTCCAAGCCAAATATTATGGATGGTGATAGACAGAAATCATATCCAAATTAAAAGTACAAACAGTGAATCTAGAAACAATCCTACTCTTGCAAACCTTCAGACCTGCAAACTCACCTCAAAAACAAAGGCGAGAGAAAGTAATTTAGTTGCTTTCATCTGTCACCCAAATTGTCATTTCCATTACCTATTAAGTGGGTGACCTCAAACTGGCATGAAAACTATCAAGCTTCAAAGCTAGATGATGATAAAACACAGCTATATATATTAAAGTAAAAACATTATCCCACAACCATTCCAAATTAAATCTTGAAACACAGCCAAAATGAAAGCATCTGCGTTTGCCTCAACTAAATACCAGCTGCATTTTGCTTTCCTTAAAGGTAGGGGTCGAGTGGATTTTAAAATGTTCTAAATATCTTCATTCTAAAGAAAACCTCACAGGTTTGTTTCAATAGCCAACATTCATCTCCCTTTAACAGAAAAATCTCAAAACATTCCATATGTAAGGTGTTTTCTAAACTGAGAGTCATGTAGGGTGCCCCTCTTGATACTGATGGCTATAATAAAAAGAACACAAAAACAGAAAGGTTGCACACATTTCATACATGGGTTTAGTTTCTGTCATATGCCATCACTGTCTCCCTGTTTTTAAGCACCAGTAAGTGGCACATTACATGTGTTTACCTGCTTTATCACACAAATATTTCCAGTGATAGCTAGGCAGCTGAAAGGCTTAAGGACTCTAGAGGTACCCAGCTGATGCAGTTAACAGAAAAGTTACAAATGCACTAGCTGAACTTAACTAGAAAGGTATCTGAAGAGGCTGAAAGGATGGTCTTCTCATCACAGAGAGCTGAAATCAGAATTATCCAAGCATTCATTCTACAGTGGAACACAAAGGCACCTAAGACATTTCAGGAAGAACTACTTTGTACGTAACTTTGGTCTCCTTCAGTCTACAATTTTCCCTACTTCCCTCAACACCTTCCCATTTTACCTCCTCCATTATTTCCCCTTTCTTTATCCAATGTCATGTAACCAGACTTAAAAACCTAGGTGATTTATACTGCCTTCCACTTTTTTCTCCTTTTCTGTATCCATCTAAGAAATCCCTTCTCATTGTTAATTAACACAGTGACAGCTTCTGACCTGCTCGCTTGTCTCTGGATTGGTTAAGCTCTAACCTTTGACAGCAAACAGACACATACCACCAGGGTTTATTCCTAAATACAGTGCTTCCAATTGTTTTGTCTGGGTTGTTGGTTTTGTTTGGTTTGGGGTTTGTCTTTTTTTTTTTAATCAAAAAGGGGATTTTCTATTCGCAAGACCTTCAAAGTCAGTCACCAGAAGCTACAAAGGGATTAAAAATTTACTCTGTTCTTACTTCATTGGCTTCAGCTAATTTGCTCTCCTTCTCTTGCAGCTTCTTACTCATTGTCTCCATGCTCTTCTTATAGCATTTGCTCATCTCCATTTGTTCTTTCAGTTTATTTTCAGCTTCTGTTTCCCTTTCCTGATATTGCTTTATGCGCGTGAGCAGCTCCCGGTTACGGTCAGCCTCTCGCTTGTAATAGTAAAAAAACAAAACACAAAGAGATATAAGAGGAAAGTAGCACAAAACTGAAGCTGTTTTGGTTCCTCCCGTCCCCATTCCTCATCGCAGTGGTCAGAGCACTATCAGGGGCAAAAATCTTACCAACAGCAATTCAGTGTCAAGGACCTACACAGGGCAAAGGAGCTAGAAAATTAAGAGGCAGTCAAAGCGATCTGGAAGACTAAGACATGAAGATGAGAACACAGACGTGACTCCATTGCACACTCAAAGATGAAACCATTTGATGCCGAATTTGAACCTGACCCATGCATAGCAAATTGACTTCCAGAAACTCAGATCTCAACAGTTGGGTTAATAAGACAAACTTCCCTCTGCAACTTCTGGAAGTTGTATGAGGATATTTAACATAAAAGAAACAGGGTTTAAACACACAGTATTATCAATACAATAAATATTTTTGCCCTCTGAAAACCTCTCATATACCATTTCAGTTTATTCCTACCACAAATTGATTATTGAAAAAATGTGTAGTAAATTGCTTTGCTAATCAAAGCAAATCGAGACATGGATTTACATAGTAAGCAAGGATTATGCAAAGCAATGTGAGGTTCCCAAAACCTTTATCCACATGACTTGGAAAAACACAGAATCTGAGCAGGGTAATTACCACAGTGCTGGAGATGAGTGCTGCTCCCTTTTTCTGTACCAGTATTTCAAGAGTTGCTGTGACTGACTCAACTACATTCCAGTTTGAACTCAGCTTAATCCCACACTTGACTTCAGAGGAACACTGACTTGCTATTTCAGAACCACACACCAAATCTATCACCCAGCACCCTTGTGAAATTCAACAAAACATGCTTACGAGTTTTTTAAAGGTTTCTTTTTTAATAATCAGCCTCATATAAGATCTTTGTTATGCTACAAAACCCACACATCTACTACTTATTCCAGTAACGTAGCTAAGCAAATATATGTGGGCATCAGACCAGAAAGCAATAAAAGCTCTTCGTCCCCGAGTGAGGCTCACTGTTTTATCGGTGCAAGCTCTCTTGTGTGACAGAGCACAGTTGGCACTGCTGCCACTCCAATTAATTACAGTCACACAAAGTACATGTTGGCAATTGTGCCAGCAGAAGTTTAAATTCATCTGGGAGAAAAACACTTAAACACTTCTGGGAGAAACAAATACTAAATCCTTTTGTTACTGCTACCCATGATGACTTCAGTGCTAAACTAATGGAATCTTGTAATCAGATCATTGGTTTATAAACCAAACCAGGCTCTGAGGTTTCACATTCTCATGTACATCAGCAAGTTAGTGCAATGCACTGTGAGGGGATCTGCAGGGCAAAAGTTTGTGCTGGGAACTTGACACCCACACCACCACAACATCTGGAGTGAATGCAAAAACAGTAAACGTATTCCAGGACCATTTACTACAGGTTTGCTGAAGTCTTGCTCTGAAGACAGTGTCTGTTAGCAGTTGGAGAGCACTAGGCTTGCTCCTGGCCTCCATCTTTCAGTTTAGTTTCATCCCAAAAAAAGCTGGCTATACACATTCTGAGACATTTCACTGCAAACCAAAGCACAGCACGAGAAGTCAAGAGTATACACCTGATCCAAACTAAAACACCAACATAGACGTACTACGTATGTTCTGATTTAGGTCTATGACATCAAACCATCTGCAATTGATGTACCTACCTCATAGTTCCTGGCGTTGGTATTAGCTGCCTTCTCCAGCTCAATGCGAGCTCGTTTGTGGCTAAGCTCCATTTGCATCTTCTCTCGTTCCACCTGCAGGAGCTGGGATTTGGAGTGGATCTGGCCAGCTTGTTCTTCCATCTCACCAGACCATGTGTGAAAACAGACATTACACACCATTAACAGCATATAACATTGCTAGCTCCCACCTTGTGCTGTTCAGCTCACACCTGAATGCCACTTCACAAGTTACAAGGAATCTATCGCCATATTTATGGTACTCTCGCACCAACTGCGGATGGGGAAACCAAGAGTTCAACAACACACTCAGAAACCCACATCAAATCGTTAGCTGGAAAGAAGCAAATGTCAAGTTCTTCATTCAGAATTTCTCATTCAATCTCTAAAGATACTCTAACAAAATGTACTTCCTTATCTAGAAAAAAAAACGTTAATGATGAACTTCCCAAGCCTCATAAAAGTAACAGCAGCTACCCAAGAAACAGAGATCATGTTCCCCAGGAAGTTTAACTGCTGGCAAAATAACATGGTTTTCTAACTGCCACATTACACTTCATTTTTTCATTCCAATTACCCCATAACACAGGCAACATTACTAGAACACCTCATGTCTAAGCCCTGTACATTCAAGACTAAAGAAGACTCTATAAACCAGGAAGAGTCTCCTCTAACCATCTTTGCAATGCATCTTTGCATCTTTTGCAATCCGAGATGTACCACAGACAGAAAATGTATAGGTTTTTTCATTCTAAATGCAAAGCAGATTTATATTAAAAAAAAATCAAGATTATTTTATAGAGACCTAAATAGAAATTATATTAAGACACACAACACAGAAACTTCATTCCAGCCTAATAAACAGTCCTTAGGATCCAAAATGTTAACTTCATGCTTCACGAGCATCAGGCAGCTTACAGGAAAAAGCTCAGAACAAACATGTGGAAACGAACAGCAGTAAACAAGGAAGCACAATTGGTCAGCAGATCAAAGCCACACACAAGGCAAGTCTTCTGCATGTGTCCAGACAAAGGAACTTTAAGGAAGATTGTAAAAAAAGTAACAAAATGACTTGCTAGAAAGTACTAATTGATAAAAGCTCCTTTGTTCAGCAATATGAAAACAACTTAGAATTTAATTCCCTGAGCTAGATGCACCTATAACCAGCAGGGAAAATAGTCAAAAGACCTTCGTGAAATTTGTACATGACAGAAATAAATGTCTGACACTTTAAAACAATTTAAAGACTCCCAAATGTTGAAAAAGCAAGCTTTCATTGAGCTTGCATGAGTATCAATCGTAAAAAGAATGGTGAGATCTTCATTAAATCAATCCCAGTCCCTGGAATCGAAAGAAATGTACAACCACCCTAAAGCGACCCTGCGAGCATCACCGGGATGAGGACACCTCACCTGCACCCTCTGCTGGTACTGAATCTGCAAGGCGCTCCGAGACGAGCCTGGCGTCGCCGGCCCAGACGCCCCCTCCAGTGAAATGAAGTTGTTGAGAGATCTCAGGGCCGAGAAGACGGTGGTGTTATTTTCGAAGTCATCCATGGCTCTGGAAGTACACAGGAAGTCATCAGCAAAACATCCAGAGCAAGCTGCGAAATACTGCCTGCTTTGTTAAAAAGAGACACGTTGTTGCCTAAACGTAACACTAAATGGAAGGTCTTCCAGTTCACAAGGTACAAAACTCAATCTGCTGGTCACTGCTGAGATCAACGTGAATCAGAAACCACTATTCAAGCAAGGCTGAAGTTGCAGGCCTCCTAAACGAGAAAACTATGCAAAACAGCCTGTTTTTCCTTGAGCTGTCTACCTGAAATTATTTATTTTGGACAGAGCCTTGGGTGACATGGTTTAGTGGCAGGTGTCCCTGCCCACGGCAGAGGGGTTGGAACTAGATGATCTTAAGGTCCTTTCCAACCCTAGCTATTCTATGATTCTACGATTCTCTCCCAAATCTCAGCCCATAAGTGTGTAAATAAAAGCTATCATAAATCATACAAAACTGAATTTTCCTTTCCTATACAATCAAGGTAACAGTCTGGGATACAAGTTAACATTGTAGGACATGAAGATCTGCAGCACCTAACACTAGTAAACAGAACTTACTACTCTTCATCCAAACACCTGAGGCTGATGGAGGAAGAATTCCATAGTAGCAGCCAATCCTACCTTTTACACAACTTGCCTCTGGTTTCCAAAAAGCACTTTGCAACTGAACTTCCAGCAACAAAACTTCCCAAGGTCACTTCTGTAAGTAAAACTGTCTCCTCATTCACATAAAAGCTCTCACAATTCTTCCTTCAAATCTAGAAGAATATTAACTAAAAGGCCAAAGCCAAAACAAGCCTGGATCCCAGAAAAACCTGCAAAGATTCCCAGGAGACTTCAAGAAGTCTAATGAGCCACACAAAGCATCAGGACCATGAAAGGCAACCGCATCCACACAGCCCTGTACCAGGCACAGACTAGGGTCTAACTTTCAGAGCAACACAGCTGTTACTCTAGATTTATACCACTGCGAAGGGGAGATGTAATACTAACATAGGCAACGGATCAGCTAAAACCCAAATGAAAACGTTTATTCGCAATAAGTACCTCAGTACCTCATGTAAATCAACTCAGGAGACACCACTGCCAACAGGTAATCCTGCACAGAAAGCCTGATTTGAAATCACGAACAACGCTAAAAATTAAAAGGACAAGCGTGTCCCCGCTGCAGAAAACCCGCTCTCAAAGGTGCCCCGGGCACCGCAGGGGGGGGTTTCCCTCACGGACCCCCCGAGGGCACACAGGGGGAGCGGGGCCTCAGCAGTGCCCACAGCCCTGCCCAACCTCGGCCGCCCAGGGGTAGGAGGAACAGGGACAGGGCACAGCCTCCCTTTCCCGCTCCTACGACAGCGGACTCGGCCGGGAGCGACAGCCGAGCAGCGGGAGAAGGGCAGGAGGGGAGCGGCGAGCCGGGCTGTGCCGGGCCGGTCCGGTCCGAGCGGAGCCAGCGGCCTCCCGCCCGCCCTCAGGCGCTCCCACCCTCACTCACCGCCGCGCGCGCCCCGCTTGGATCTCCCTCCTCGCCCCGGCGCCGAAATCGCACGAGAACTCGCGCCCAGCTCTCGCGAGAACAGCGCCGCGGGCCGCCGTAAGGACGGTACTAGGAGCGCACTCCGCCCCGGCCTCCGCGCTGTACCGTAATGACCCGAGGCAGCGCCATTAAGGGTGAGGGTAACGGGCTTCTGCGGGGCTTTCCTTACCAAACTCATACAAAGCAACACCCCGCTTCTTAGTTTAGGGAATCGGGAGTTTTCAAAGCAGGTGGAATTCGATAACCCTGTAAGCAATCCCAAATGAGCTGTCTGCAATGAGAAAGATCTGGAAGCCTTCAACCAGACGCTGTCAGGAGCTCCTCTTGCAACTCTGCCACAGTCAGCCGGATAAAAGCGCTGTTTAATGTGAAAGGTGTCACTTCCCAATAAACTGATCTTATCTTAGCAGTAGCTAAATTTCTTTGTGCAAAAGGAATTCCAGCAACTCAATCAGTAACCTTCCCTGTCTGGGATCCAAGGAATACTTCATCATTTCACCTAAGAGACAGCATTGGTCAAATATAAAGTATTACTGAAAACAGAAGGGAAGCTACCTTCTGGGTGATGATACCGACCCTGACAGGCACAAAAACGTTATCTATTTTTACACACACTGATAAATTGCACCGGCTTTAAAGAATTCTAAGCCACCAAATTGGTTTAGAATGCCCTTGCTGTTCCCTCTCATTCCGACAGCCACCTTTTATGGTTAACCTCACACGGGGCAACATTAACAGTGCACTGATTTTCAAGCACGCATTAAAACCTTGTAAAATCACTGTTTTATTTCCATTTCCATTACTCCAAGCCCCACAGGTCACCTTTCAGATTACTCCTCTCCATTCCCAACTGTTTTCTCCACAGGTGAGAAGTTAGATTGGATGCTTCTGCTGGGATAATTAGCAGATACAGGCAGCAGGGGACCACCCTGGTTATTTTTGTATGTGATGTACTTTGTAACAGTCATGGCAGATTTCCCCAGGGTCTGAATGGTGGGATTTTCCATTAAACACACAGCAGATTTGGGTTTCCAGTGAGTGTCTGATCACCTGTTTGATAATCTGCAGTTCTTAGCCTTCATTTCCCTTTATACAGTCTCGCCAAATAGTAAGATTCAGCAGAGTCCTTCCTGCTGGCGTGAGGCTTTATAGTTCTCACATCTTGGAACTGCTCCTTCAGTCTGTTCTGCAAAAGACGGGACTCATGCCCATCCCAGAATTTACAGAGCAGCGCTCCTTTTGGCTTTAAAATACTTTGGGATACCTTCAGAAGCCCTAAACATAGATTGATCAGCTTCTGGTGATCCAGTTCTTTGATGCCTGTTGCATTAGGTGCCATGTCGCTCAAGATAACATCCACCTTCTCTGCAGGAAGCAGACTCTGAATCCTCCTCAGCGTGTTTGGGTCTGCAATGTCAGCCTCTGACAGGAAGACTGCTCCTTCCAGAGGAGCAATCCGAAGGAGGTCAACACCAAGGACGAAGCCAGTGGGGACAGCAGGATCTAGATAAGAACGAATGACACACTGAACACTCATAATGGTTGCAAACAAACTCCATAGTACGAGCTCTGTGCTAGTCATTAAACAAAAAACGCATCACCTGCCAGATCTGGTCTTCTTATCCTTAGACAATTTGCTACATGTGTCTGGATGGATGGTTTGCTGTAAACTAATCCATTCAGGATGTGAAAACTCAAATACTTTGGATAAGCAAGGGGTATTTTTCTTGGTTTTCTTCTGCTCTTTCAAGGCTGACAGTCCAGAAATGCTGGATGCTAGTAGAGACGGTTAACACCTTATCTTGGAAATATTAATAGCTTAAAACACACAAACTGGATATAGTGGGTACTATCATTTTTCAAGAAAGGAAATAAAATATCAGGAAAGCCAAGGTACCTCCTGAGGCCACATCCATGGCAGAACGGGATGAAGGGATCTTCCCCATATCATTTAAACAGAACATTAGCACCACGTTAAGTTTTAATTTCACAAATATGATGTCTCCAGACTATAAGAAAGAGTTCCTGTTCCTCACTGCCACATATCTTCACACCTCTGTCAGTGAGTCCTGGTATTTACCAGTATCCATAATCCATTCGCTACACCACCACCATCACAACCAAGTTTTCCCACACACCTCAAGATGAGCAGCATCCCCATCTTGCCTGCCAACAACACGCACTTACCAGTACCTAAGGCATTGACTCTCTCTACAGCAACCTGACTCCAAGCACCGGGCGCCGCTCCACAGTCAAGAACGGAAAGCCCGGGACGAAGAACATGAAGCTTGTCATCCATTTCCAGTAACTTGAAGGCACTTCGGCAACGGTAATGCTGCTGCTTCGCTGCCTTGACAAAGGGATCCCTCACGTGCCGCTCCAGCCACCAGTGCTCAGTGCCAGTTTTCTTCAGAAACCTCACTGTGGTGTGGAGACATTTGCTCACCAAATGCCAACAGCTGCCCGGTAAGGAAGGCAAGTTATTCAATCAGTACATAATCACAGAAGGGATAGGGTTGGAAAGGGCCTTAAAGCTCATCCAGTTCCAACCCCCTGCTATGGGCAGGGGCACCTTCCACTGGACCAGGTTGCTCCAAGCAGCATCACCATGTGTCTCAAAGGTCTCTATATAGCTAATTAATTCTAGCTGCACCTCCATCTCCTCCCAGGCTCACAAAAAAGCCTTCAAAATTGAGATTCATGATGCCTTTCGTTACCCGGTCCAGCCCCAACCAAACGGCTGTGTTTGGGGTGAACCTCACAGGTTACCCTGAGGCGAGACAGGGGCCCCCTCATAGACAGCTCTTCCCTTCTGCTCCGCTGTTTGTGTTCCAAGGCCCACAGGGCCACGCCATGGCAGCCCGACCCCAGCACACCACAGGCCGCCTCAGAGGGGCGGCTGGGGGTACCTCACCCCTCGGAGGAAGGAGGGTTGCCTCAGCTACGCCATGTCTCTGGGCAGAGCACACCACCAACCTCTGCCACCACAGCTTCCCAGGTCACTAACCCCCTCTCCGGCGTTCCCAGCAGTGACAAACCCAAAACGCACGGTACCCGTTTCTGAGGGAAGCTTACGGCGCCGCGGGTAACACCAACCCTTCCCGGCACACCCCACCACCCGACGGCTGCCTCAGCGGCCCCACCACGCACCTACCCCCGGCGGCAGCGGCGGCAGCAGCACCGACCCGCCTCCCCGCCATGGCGGCCGCCTCAGCCCGCCCCGCCTTCCCTTCCCTCACGGCTGCCGCAGGCGGGGCTGGAGCGGCGGCGCGGGAAGGGCCGCACCGGGCCGGGCCTGCTCTGAGGTGGTGGCTCAGCGGTGGGCGGGAAAGCGGGGCGGGAGGGGGACAGGGCCGGGAGGGGGGGGTGACGACGAGAAAGTAGGGGCAGCCATAAGGGAAGATCATGAGGGGTGCGCAGGGGTGGCCATGGAACGTGAGGGGTGGCCATGAGGGGAAGGGGCAGCAGCTATATAGTGTGGGCCGCTGTTGTGGGGGGAAATGAGGGGTGGCTGTGAGTGGAGGTCCTGAGGGGACGTCAGTTTGCCCTTAGTGGACTTGGCAGTTCAGTTGGGCTTTACCATCGTAAAGGTCTTTTGCCATCTGGTTGATTCTATGGCGGATTCAGGGAGAGGGTGCTGGGAGAACAGGAGGGTTGGTGAGGAATGCTAGAGAAGCAGGCACTGGGAACCGAGGGTTTGGGCTGGGGATGGCAGGGACCAGGCATTTGGGGATGGCTTGATGGGTGTTTGGGGTAGAGGAGCTGCCTGCGCCCCGTGTGCTGGAGGAGCAGCTTGCCCTCCCCTCCGAGGGGTGCCGGAAGCCCTTGGCGCAGCGTGCCCTCATCTCCTGCCCAGGAGCCATGTACACCACCAAGCTCTTCACCCTGGTCCTGGTGGTGCAGCCGCAGCGCGTCCTCCTGGGCCTGAAGAAACGCGGGTTCGGAGCGGGGCTGTGGAATGGCTTCGGTGGGAAGGTGCAGCCAGGGGAGAGCATCAAAGAGGCTGCTCGGAGGTGAGCTGGTGCCATGGGGAGAGGTGGGTTCAGGGCACAGGAGGTGTTGGATCGTTTGTGGTGGGGTTACTGCAGCTCAGCCGATCAGTAACGCCCTTGGAACCAGGGTGTTACCCACCAGTGCTGTCCTGAGCCATCTCTGAACAGAAAATGGCCTGCTCCACAGGCGATGAGGGATCAGCCATATGAACAGGGAAAGGGGATGGCTCCCCATTGCTGTCACCTGCAAATCTTTAACTGTTGTCCAGTCTATGAGTAACTGGAAGTGAGCATCCTCCCTCCCAAAGACTGGTCTAAACTGAGCCTTTGTCTGCTAGCAGTGGGCAGAAGTTCTTGCACTGTTCAGAAAGGTGCAAAGTTTAATCATGGCTGCATAGCAGAATTACAGCTTATGCCAGCAAACTGCTTAGTGTTTAATGTTGAACAGATGCTGCCTTCCAGTAGTGAAAACATAGTAGCAAAACAGAGATTTTTAGGGGTCCCTTATGAAAGGCGCTGGTGAAATTTATGATTTGACTTCATGGCGGCATTTGAAGCCTTAATGCTGAGTTGGGGAATTGAACTCCATCAGCACAGAGGTACAATAGCATTTCTGAAGCTTTTAGTACTCATTCCTCAGAGTTCTTCTGTTTAGTCAGTAAAATGAAATAGCAGATGGCAGCTGAATTGCTAAACTCCTCTAAAATTTAGGTACCTCATTCTTTATACAAACATTGCTGATACAAAGCCACACTTTGCCACTTCCTCCGTTTCTGATAAATGCCCCAATTTGCCCTTGCAGCTGCAGGAAGATGAGTGTTGGTGTAGCTCAACAGCTACCCAACAGCTTTTTCCCTGAACCATCTGTGCCAGTACAACCGCCTGTGTTCTGTGGTGAGCTCTTCCAGGGATACAGGAGTCCTCTCTGCAGGTGTTAATGTACCTCATGCTTACATTGTGGCTTTTCATGTAATTTGTCATCTCTAAGAGGAGGGAGACTTGTTTTGTTACTTAATTCAGGCCTCCATTTGCTAGGCTTGCACTGCCACTGTGGTGTGAAATGATTGAATTTAGCATTTGGTTTCCTAGGTGTGTGTTTGCCTAGAGTGAGAAACTGGAGCTTTAGTCTATATGAGTTGTCAAGTGCGGAAGGTGTCACCCATCCCAGTGCAGTGTGTGCCGCAGGAACAGCCAGTGCCTGCTGCTGTGGAGTGCAGAACAGCCCAGTCCTCATCCCTTTCCATGCAGCTGGTAGGAGCTCACTGCAGCGACACCACTGATACCAGCTGAGCAGGAAGCAGTCCCCAGAGCCAGGTAGACACAGCTACTTTAGGTGCAACTCTCCTCCAAGAAGCATCACACAGTCCAAAGCAAACTTACCTTGGCTGCTCTGTATTCAGGGCTGGGGTATTAGGCCATGGTTCTGTGTTGCACTGTCTCAGTTGGCTTTGCACTGGTGTAAGGTGTGAAGTGTCCTCACAGCACTGATAGTTAAACATTAAGCTGAAACATGAGCAAGTTTCCTCTGTCTGTTAAGATCCCTATCTTCCATTGGGTACATCACATTCCTATGAGCACCTGGGCACTCATGGCTCCTCCCTGGCACATCTTGTAAGGGGAATACTTAGTTCATTATTTTCAGTTTGCTCCCTGTAATGTTTCTACTTCCTATATACGGAGCCAAACAGCCAACAGATAAATTGCTTGGAGAACCATAGCAGTGTTGTACTTTGTTATTCAATTATCACAGCCTGTCAAATGAGGCTTTTAGATTTGCTGCTGGAAAACTGCCTCTGTTTTAAACACAGTTGCTCAAGGAAACTAAAATTAGCTAAGCTATTTAGTTGGAACATGATTTTGAAGGATGGGACCCATGAAATCGATGCCAAAGAAAGCTGGAGCCTTAAAGAGCATTTCCATTACATTTTGAAATTAAGTGGCTGCCAAATATTCAACTACATCAATTATTAACCTTAACTGAAGATGCATTGTTTCCAAGCATTCCTTACTTTTGTCCATTAGAAAAAACATTTCTAACTTCAAGTTATGCTGACTCTGTTAGGGGTAGGCTAAAATAAAATAAGCCCTAAGCACATAGCACAAAGAGAGCAAGTAACTGAATGTGCTTCGAGTAGCTGTGCATGCTGACAAATGGGAAAGAGCTGTCTGGCAAGTCCTTCAAAGTGCTCTTTAAGTCTTCCCTTGTAGCTTCTCCTTATGCTAAATGTACTTCCAAGCAGCAGAAATAGAAAGTTTACACAACTGCTTTGTGTTTTTATGTGGCATTTGAATGGGAAATGGTATTCCTAACTCTGCATGCAAATGATGTTAGTAGCGTGTAGTGTTCTTTAAATTAGGTTCAGTTAACCTCAGAAGTAGCTGAGTTTGTTGCAGTACAGCTGCTTCAGTATTCCTTACCTGCTTCTCCACACTTCTAAAAGCTTCAGCTTGAAGTTGGCAAAGCCAACAAAGCATATCTTGGAGTTCTTAAACCACATCCAGCTACAGTCATACAAGCGTTAGCCCACTTCTAACTCATCTCAGAAAAGATCTTCATGTTGTAAGGGATGTAAATCATGCTAAACAATTTTTCCTGAATCTTCCATTTCCAACATAGACTGTTTTCCTACCAGCCTTTAGGAGCTTAGAGTAACACAGGAGCTAGTCTGACTTGGCTGTTCCGTGGTGTCAGTCAGTAGGGGCTGTGCCCTGCTCCGTTTTGCAGGTGCGGCGTTCATCTTTAGTTTACTAGAAGAGTTTTGAACGTGCAAGTAAAGCTAACAACTGCTTTTTGGTTCTCCCACTGCTTGCTTTCATGTGAAGAAGTCTATTTCTTGTGCAGGGAGCTCCTGGAGGAGAGCGGACTGACTGTGAACACCTTGCAGAAGATGGGTCAGATCACATTTGAATTTGTGGGCAACTCTGAACTCATGGAGGTTCACGTTTTCCGGGCAGATGATTTTCATGGAGAGCCAACAGAAAGCGATGGTAAGTGAGGGGAAGGAAGGATGCGCATTCTCTTCTGAGACAGTACTGCTCTTTGGAAATGCAGAACTATTCATGCCAAAATCCCTTTGCGAAGGGATGGAGCTGAGCTGTAGAGTGGAACTTACTGACACATACTCAAAGGGGGGGTTGGAACTAGATGATCTTAAGGTCTTTTCCAACTCTAACTATTCTAAGAGTCTATGAGGAAAACACCCCCAGGAGAAAGTCTCACACCAAGTTGTTTTGTTTTTTCTGCCACCAGAAATGCGTCCCCAGTGGTTTCAGCTGGATGAGGTGCCGTTCAGTCGCATGTGGGCAGACGATATCTACTGGTTTCCCCTTGTGCTTCAGAAGAAGTTGTTTCGGGGCTATTTTAAGTTCCAGGGACAAGACACAATCCTGGAGCACAACCTGAAAGAAGTGGAGGAAGTTTAAGAAAACAGAAGCAGTCAACCCACGTGCTGCTGCCCACACTGGGCTAGAACACCACGAGTACTACTTCCAAGGGTCTTCTTTCTCAGCTCTCCAGCAAGAAGGCTGATATGTCAGGTCACTGGGAAGTAACCAGGAAAATAAGGGGGCTTCCTAGAGCAGAAATAAAAGTAACGAGGTTGTCCATGCTGTGAAGTCCCTGGCGGTGTTACATACACTTCAGCCAGGGTTATGTGATCACAGCTATTAAAAACATAGTGTTAACTCTTTCCTGCACAGGTGAATGATGTTTTAGGCTTTCCCCTCATGGCTGGAAATGTTTGGGTTTTTTTTAAGATTAAAGCTATTTTTTAGTAAAAGCACGCGTTGCTCTGTTGTTAAATGTTGGCTGCCTTCTCTATGGGTTAAGGGCCTTTCAGGAGTTGGCTTCCTTTCACAGAAGCATTAAGTGGACAGTGATGCAGCAGAATTGATTATCTTCTCTCTGCCAGCATCTATCCAGTTCCTTATTCAGCATTAACTCCTGGGGTAAGGCAAAGCTTGACCAGCACTGTGAAAGCCCTTTGTAAAATATGTTGAACAAAATCAACTTTGAGCAAAACCACATTGCAAAGTGCCATCACCTATGGCTGCAAGCTTTGCCGTGTGTTGGCTGCAAGTGACCTGCTCAGCCCAACTCAGCACACTGGGCAGCAAAGGCTGAATGAAACCATGCTAGAAATAACACATCACATATGTAACTTCTTACACAAGTTTTGTTTGGTTTTTGGTTTAAACTTTTACAAACACATATAACACAGATAGACTCTTGGAATGTAATACAGGCTCTGTAAACATTTCCAGTCTAACAGCTGTAGTAATAGTTCTTTAATTCCTGCATTTGGATAAAGTGCTTCATACATAAGGCTATTTGAGCAAAGCAAAGATACAGGATATTCCAGGCAGGCAAAATTCACACCCTCTGAACAAGATTGTTTGTTCTTGTCTCCCTCCAGCAGTTCTGAATGATTTATAGCAGTCAAAAATGCCCTTCTTCATGTGCTCAGGAAGTTACAGCTCAGACAGAAGATAAGAGTTAACACCTTAGGATCTTGCTTTTGCTTTTGTGCTGCACGGTTATTTACAGAGTTCTTGATACTCCCCTCTGTTCCTGACACAGCATTAAGAGGTTCTGGCTGTTCTGGTGGAGAGAAGGGCTCGAGGTAAGCAGAGAAGAGAAAATACGCACAAGGAGATAGGTAGTTTGTAGCGGGGTGCAAGACCTGACTGTGTCATAGGAAAGGGGGTGACTGGCAGCTGATACCTGTGATGTTAGTTTGGGTTATTTCCTGGTGGAAACTAAATGGCAAGCTGAGAGAGAGCAAGTTACTTTCTATTCCTCCAGGAACAGCAAGTAACTCCAGGAACACTTTAGGAAGGAAAAGAACAAGTGTGGCTCATGCTTGCACTTCTATTTGCTATCTCCTCTTTAGCTCCTGTCAAAAAGCAGTGACAGTATTACTCCTACCCAGCTGTGGAGACTGACATGTTTTAAACAAGTTGTGTCCCCAGCTGGTGATCTTGTCTTTTAGGAAAGAGCACAAACTTAAGATTGGAAATTAGCCTGGTAGAAATTCCAGGAATTACACCCTTGCACGATCAAAGTAGAAGAGTAAAAGCACTGGAATGCAGCAAGGCACTGCTGAACATTGAGGAACAACAACTTGCAAAGATGGCAGGAGGGGGAAAGCAGGATCAAAGATGAAGGTTCTATTGTAAATACAGTTTTGAAAGCCTTTCAACACGACACTGGTCAAAAAGCCTCTATATTGCCACTTCACAGCTCGGAGCAGAGGAGACCTCAAGAGTGACAAACACATATATAGCCCTTTTGATAAAACAGTATTCAGGCACGGTTTCAGGTTCTCAGCTGTTTACTACCCTGATACCTCCGCAACAGGTTGGACAGATACTGACAGGAACATTGGAGGCCTTTTCTACCATCACTGTTGAACATATGAAAAGCCCTGTGACCTCCAGCAACACACAGAAAGCTTCCACTCAAGAAGGCACATTAACTCTTGGGCACTACATCTTACAGGAGCATCAGTTCTTGGACAGGCATCAGTTAGTCTCCTGGTTTGATTAGTGTTTAGCGCAATCTACCCAGCTACCAGCAACGGAACCAACTCCATTAAATCTTGTTCCTACCCTTGTGTATAGCTGGGCTGTTTGCTGCAGAAGGCAATAGCACGGAGGTAACTAGAACCGATTCTCCTACACTGATGAGGGGAGATAAAACAATTGAAGTCAACTGGGTTGACTCCCTGCTGTATCCCTCAAGAGGAAGGAAGCTTGGTGCTGCTCCCCAAGCCTGGCAGATCCATAAACTAAACAGAACAAATACAGTAAGGAAACCCCTCACATATTGAGGTAAATGTAACAGTGCTATTTGCACACTGACCAGTCTCCCAAAAATAAGATTAGCAAACTAGGGGTTGTATGAAATAGTGTAGGCAGGTATTTAGGAATGAGACAGAAGCTTGACAGTCCAGTATGAGAGGAACTCTGAAAGTGCCATTAGTTGTATCAGCTTTGAGAATACCAGGCCTCTGTTCTCAAAATAGGTGAACAGAGTAAAACCCAACCAAGGAAATCCACCCCCAAAACTGCTCCCCCTCAGAGAGGCGAGGGCTGGAAAGGGGATTTTCTCCAAGCAATGTAATTCCAGTTTCTTTACAGGTCATGTGGTCTGTATTTATCACCATTACAGTCGCTGCTTTTGGACTGCAGAATTCCTGCTTTGAAGGAGAACAGGAAGAGAGGAGTTAATCTAAAGCCCAAATGTGGGTTTGATGTTTGGGTTTTTTTTGTTTTGTTTGTAAATAAAGTCCAAACTTGTAACTTCAGATAAAAGTGAGAAATGCCAAGTTCCATTCACGCTAATACTTAGCAAGTGCTCCTGCAGGACACAGCCCAGTCATCTACCCCAGCCAGACACGTTACATAGAAGATGCACCATACAGATAGCAGATCTTGCCCCAAAACATGGTATTTTCTCAGTCTGCCTGTTCAGCACATCAGGCAAACGAGGCTGAACACGGTTCAAAGACTAAGCAAACGACAGGCTGTAACCAGTCAGCACCTTCTAAAGATGCTGGGAGCAAAGAGCATATAAAATTACAGCAACATGCTCTCCACACTCCAACCTCAAACTACCTTCCTGATAAGGTCAAGCAGAAAAACCTTCTGTGCCATTCTTGAGATACTGTCTTCTTTATTACCGTGCTGCACAGATGTTTCCCTTCCGAACCAGTTTGTTCTGGCTTGCTGAGCAGAATCTCTGCTGCACCACTGTGGAAATCTTCAGGAGCAAGTATCAACCCTGTCTGGCTGGACATGGCTAATATATGGGAGGAGATACTCAGGGGAGAGTTAACATTTGAATTGCTCTACAAAGCTCTTAACTCCGAGCAGTTGTTAAACAGGACACCCTACACACTCCTTAAGGCCCAGCGCTTAAGAAACTCACCCACTTAAGTGCACTTTACATTTTGAGGGGTGTGTGTAATAGTTATGCCTGTCCCATGGAACTGGGCAAGTAACTATCTCACTTCTAGCTGAAGAAACTAACCCGTAATTTCCGCCTGGGCTAGGAAGAACTTCATGTTGCATTGAGTTTCCTAAATTAATAATGAAAAAAGCTTTTGTGATTGGAGGACTTAAATCTACTTCCTGCTAATGGGGACACTCCCCAGTGGGAAATACTGCAACGGTTCCAGTTTGAGAGCGAGCACCCACCCTTGGTAATGTGCTTCCTTTTTACCCACTCAAAGAAAACACTAAGAAGCCAAGTCTCAAATTCCCCTTTGGCAGCTATTTTGACCCCACAGGAGCCAGATTCAGGGGAGTCCTGTTCACATCAAGTTTTGCTGCGCACGTTTGCAGTTTCCTCAGTTATCAGTTTCTCTGGAGGATATGCACCATTTCCCTTGAGGAAACAGATGATTCTATGGCACGCAAGGTCTCTTGCCCCTACCCTTGGCCTCATGAGGGTAAACCACCCAAGAAACAAAGCAAAACATGGAGAATGTTTGGTCCCTCTATCACAAATCATTCTATTACTAAGGACTGTCCTATTCTGAGAGAGAACTGTCACTTAATTGTCTTCTCTCCTTCACAAACACACTCCAGTGCTACCCACAGCCAGAAATGAGTGACAGTAACATCCTGATAAATACTGATCTTTTTTGCTAATGAACTTTATCAGCATCATATCCCAACATGCTGGTGCAACAGGATACTGCATCTGATATCAGACCAAAGAGAACACCAGCCTTCAGTTCAGCAGCTCTCCAGTAGTCCTAAACAGCTACTGAAGAGATGGATGTCAGAACCTCCAGAAGACAATAATAACCAAGTTACTTTGGTCACTGCTGCTCAGGTAGTAGGAGTGGTTTACAATGAATGAGTGTTCTATTCTATTACTTTCTCGTTTACACCAGGCAAACTCCTCTGAGTTCTTGAACCCAGTTGTCTTTGGCCCCAAACTGAAAGAGATGAGCAAGTCTCCAGGCTGCCCTGCAGTGGTGAACACAACAGCCTGCCCAGCCTCACAGGGACAATCCTGCTCACCCAGCAGCACAGACCCTCACCCCAGCCACTCTGTTCATGTATCTTGTGCTAAGGTCTAACAGTGAGAAATCAATTCCAATGGGATGGGGGATGGCTTTCAGCTTTCCTTATGCACATATGTCCCTAACACAGGCCCTCCCCAGCTTAAAAGGCAATCCATCTCTACTACAAGCAAGTGCTTCAGATATCTTGTTCATCTCAGCACTTCAGAGATGTGTCAGCACGTGTGTAGATACTCATTACTGGAGGACTGTTAGTACAAGATGCAGAGGCATCAGCAACGACACTGCAGCACTCACTGCACTGGGTCACATCCTGACCCCATGAAGAGCATCTGCAAGATAACGAACATCAGCTCTGCCCCAGAGCATTTCAAAATGAAGAGATTGTCTCTCTATCTGTATGTTCTGCCCCACATCCAGTCCATCTTAATCAGAGAGCAGCTCAAAGCAGCAGTATTACAGAATAAAAATAGCTGTTTGGAGGATTCATTCTAACATCTGGAGGTAGAGGTCCCACCCCTTCGCTGATCGCATTTCTTGCTCCAGGCGGGATGCTCAGCACATTAATTGGAGAAGAAGTTTCCCTCTGGAGGTGACAGTGGTGGAGTTGGCATATTGCTGGATCCCACGAAGAGGCAGCTCAACTTCGGCTTCAGTTCGTTCCAAACTTTACTCATCTGGGAGTGGAAAAGGAGAGAAAACACCCATGACCATCATCTCACTGAGTTCTATTTCAGCTGCACTTTCAGAGTACTCCAAAGCACAAGGAGAGAAAACACCCATGACCATCATCTCACTGTGTTCTATTTCAGCTGCGCTTTCAGAGTACTCCAAAGCACAAGGAGAGAAAACACCCATGACCATCATCTCACTGTGTTCTATTTCAGCTGCACTTTCAGAGTGCTCCAAAGCACAAGTCAAACTTGCTGAAGTACTTTGTGGAAGTTCAGTGGACCCAGACTGCCCCTTTTTGACTAGTGTGATAATGCAGCTCTCTGAGTATGCATGGAATGGAGTTTCCATACCTTGGTCAAATTCCTTCACTGAAGGAAGGGGGGAAGCTGAAGGGGAAGAGACTTTAATATAATGAATGCAAGGAAGTCTCTATGCGGGCAATGCTGAAGGTCACATTTAGGGGTTAACAAAAGGGAGCTCCTGGATTCAGAGCAAAACCAAGGAAGTTGCTCCTTGTCATGTAATTTCTTTTGTAACACAACAGAAAGAAGATTCATCTAGCAAAGACACATCATTCATTACAGAATAGCCACTTGGTCAGGTCTTCCTCAACTACCTGTAGAGTAAGGCCATGTGCAAGTGAAAGAAGGGAAGAAACCCACAGAGGCTTGCTGCAAGAAGATGAAGTCTTTAGAGGGGTTAGAGGCCAGCCTGGACCCTCATCCTAAACTGGAAAGACCTTAGGTGACTTCTTAAGGAGTTACAAAAGAGCCCAGCTGGGCAGATGATGAGAGGAGGAAGGCCCACAGGTGAAAACAAACACATTCCAATCCTCATTCATATTTTGGGAAGACAAACACAGTCCAGAAGAGCTCACCTCTTTGTGACCCTGGATCTGGGAGTTGACAAAAGCCCCCAAAATGTGAGATGTGAGAGGCAGATAGATGTGGATGAGCTGTGTCTCCTGATGCAAGCAATACAGAGAGAAGTAATTCCGCAGCTCCATGGTTAGGATAGCATTTTCTTGCTGAAAGAAAAGGAACTCAGTGAAACAAATTGCTAGCAAGAGGGTGCCAAGGAAGTTCACATGCAGCAGGAGAGCACAGCATTCCTCATCATACTGGCAATTCAAACACATACCAAAAACCTAAAAAAGGAGTTCCTGGACCCATTTGATAAGACCTCATAGCAGCCTTCCAATATCTGAACGGGGCCTACGGGGATGCTGGAAGGGATTGTAATGATAGGACAAGGGGTGATGAGTTTAAACTTAAACAGGGGAAGTTCAGGTTGGATACAAGGAAGAAGTTCTTTACTGTGAGGGTGGTGAGGCACTGGCACAAGCTGTTCAAAGAAGTGGTAAATGCTCCAGCCCTGGCAGTGTTCAAGGCCAGGTTGGACAGAGCCCTGGGTGACATGGTTTAGTGCGAGGTGCCCCTGCCTATGGCAGGGGGTTGGAAGCAGTTGATCTTAAGGTCCTTTCCAGCCCAAACCATTCTGTGATTCCAGGATACAAACAGCATTTTCCATCATGCAGACTTTCCAGAGCTCCTGCAAATAACATGTTACCAAAAGCCAGTCATAAGCATTGAGGAAAACAAAGGTGTTTCCATGTAGCACAGCAGGTAGCTCAAATTACCCAAAGTACAGGTTACCCTTTCAAGTCTAATGGCTTTCTGCAAATGTGACTGGGCACAGAGCAGCGCCATTACAGGAGCCCAGTACAACCCTTTGCTCTCCCAGGTTTCTGCCCTACCTCCACAATCCGAGACTCCAACTGCTCTACCGATTCGGGTTCTTTGTTCTGCACAGTGGCACTCATCATCTGCTTCTTCATCATGCTGTACTTATGCAGTGCTCGCTGGTGCTTGTGCAATACCCCCTTCTCATGTCTTTCACACAGGTCCTGTATGAGAAAAAGAAAAAACAGGTACTTAGTGGAAGCTAAGAGACAGCAAGCAGGCAAGCCAAGCGGAACACAAACACACACTGATGCTTTATGTGATTCCTATGCAGATTTGTGTTTCTTTGTTTTTCAAGAGGGTCAAAAAGATGTTGGCAGCTAAGAATCCAAAAACCAAAACTGCCCGGAGCCAGAGCAGTGAGCTTAAGATCCAAAATACTCCAGATTGCCTCTTATCAGTCCTCTTATCTTTCATGCCCTTCTCAATATTAAGTGCTGGCAACTAACTGGTGAGAGCTTGCCAGTGTCCCTCTATTCCAGTTCAGGCCTGGGAATGTCAGGAGAGGCTGCCACATCCCATGTCAGGAGATGCTTCTAAGAAAAAAGTGTCTGACTGAAAGATGAGTATTAACAAAAACTTATCTGTAACTGAATCTATGTCTCCATGACCAAACCAGTAGTAGTTCAATTCACTGCTCTGACCCAAAAGCAGCCAAATCTGGAGAGAAGGTCACTGATCTGCATAGTTTCAAGCAGTTGTAGTTTTCAATTCCTTGCAGGGTTTGCTGTTTGGCAAGTTCTCATCACTAGATGAGCTGATCCGTAAGGCTACAGAGCCAGCTACGGCCAACAGCCACTCCCTCTGCCAGATGCCCAGTTTGCCTCTGAACTGGCCTCCCAAACAGTTTTCCATCCAGTTGGCGTTACACCCTCTAAAGAGCACAGGCTTGCTCTAAACAACTTTCTCACTGGCACAAGAACAGCAGAGCTCACTTTGTAGGACTGGAGTAAGTCCAGGAAAAGGTTCAGCTTCTCCACCACATCATTCTCTTCCTGTTTACCCTAGAAAACAAGGAAAAAGCACATTTTACGTGAGCCTGGTAAGGAGCAACATCACAGCTCTTCACATCCTTACAGCACGCAGGCCCTCCACTGCATTCTCGAGGGCACATCAATGCTTACACAACCACATCAAAACCCTTTCAGATGGCACTTCAGTGTTTCGTCTCTGCTATGCAGAACAAAGATCTGACTGGAGCAGGCACAGCTTTTCCAATTGACTGATCATTGTAACAGGAGGAGCTAGTTTCACAGTCCTGTGTCACTCCTTTCAGCTCTCTGCCTGGAATTTCTTGCTCTTGCAGATTCCTCCAATCTTTCATCTTCCCTTCCCACAAGATAACTGATCCATTAAAACTATAAATACCCGCATGCTCCCCATGCTAGTCCATGCATCAGAAGGCAGAGATGAGACACCAAGCCAAATTTCACTACTTGTTTTTTTTACTTTACCAAACACTGTCTTTTCTTCCTGTATCAATAGAGCTCTCTGGAGAAAAACACCTGGGCTAACTGCTCTATAAAAGCATGCTGAGTATCTTAACACAATGAAATGAAGAGAAGGGAAGATAAAACTATCACTTATCGTTCCCAGACTGTCATGTTCTCATGTTATTCTGACAGTCATTACCACACTGCACACTTACAGCAATATGATGCTTTTGTCTGAATGACTCTCATGTGATGTTTAAGTACTTGAATGTCAAAATGGGATTCAGAGCTAAATTCTCCTGGATTCTCTGTATCGGATTAATATGACAGAATGCAGGACTTTTGGACAGCTCAGTGTAATAGTACAACTTCAATTCTCCAGTAAGCATTTGAAATTACAAAAGAAAGCCACTTTTCCATCCCTTCTCTTGCCCATTGTATTTTTTCCCATTTAAACACAGTCCAGCTTTTTCATTCAAGCTTGAACAAGCTGCCTGGTGGCTGAAAATGGAGTTTGGACTACAGTCTCCCTCTTAACTCTGTAAGTGCCTGTGTCCACAGAACTCATGATTCAAGTTGAAACTACAGGCACCAACACACCTCCTTCATAGAAAAGGAAAGATAAAAGTAAAGAACTCACCTGCTGCACAGCCTTATCTGCCAGAAGTGCAAACTCAACAGACAGACCCTTCAAGGCTTGTTTCAGAGTCCCCCATGTGCTATTATTCAAAGCAGCCCAGGAAGGAAGCGGCGTAGTGTCTGAGCCCAAAGCACTAAGAGGAGATAAGTAGTGTTCAACTCTAGGAAACAAATTCCACTAAGCAGATACACATATTTGCAGAGAGTTCAGAGGTTCTAATCTGTTTATAGACAGTTTGCAGTGCTGAGCTACTACTGCACAATCACAAATGCAAAGCTGTGTATATACTGGGGGAAGAGGCAATAAAACCAGTACCTATATGTCAAAGCATTTGTATTTTCTTTCCTCTTGCTCTGTGGAATGCAACCTTAGGACAAACGGCCTCAAGGTGTGCCAGGAGAGGTTTAGATTGGATATTAGGAACAATTTCTTCACAGAGAGGGTTCTCAGGCATTGGAACAGGCTGCCCAGGGCAGTGATGGAACCACCACCACCATGCAGAAAAGGCCCTCGGTGATATGCTTTAATGGTGGTTTTGGCAGTCCTGGGGTAATGGCTGGACTTGATGATCTTAAAGGTCTTTTCTCACCTAGCTGATTCTTAGTGAAAAGCATCTATTTTCCTCTTTTATAGTAGGAAAAAATTTAATAATACCGACAGCACTGAAATACCCATTCTTACCAGACCATTTGCAGGTAAGCCTTAGAAAAGTTGAGCTCTGAAACAACAGTAGAAAAGTTCACATAAGGAAATCCTCTTCCTCCCAGCCTACCTTAGCTCCTTTCCAAAGATGAGAAGATCTGAGGCATTATCAATGGCTCGAGAAGCTATCCTCTCCGCCCGGTCCCGCAGCTTATAGAAGCTATTATAAATATTTCTGATGAGCTCCCTGCTGGCAGCAAACTGGGCCTGGATGTCAGCGGGAAGGAAGTCCTGGAAAAGTGCAAGAGAGATTACTGCAGGACAAATGGGAGGCACATTCACATACATTAATTCTGGGCATACCACACAACAGACAGAGACAGGTTTCCCTCTTGTGCTTGCGCTCTTGTACCGCGTGCTGTAATAGCCCCGAAGAGATTAGCTTCACAATTTAGGTGTCCAAATCAGATGTCACCCAAAACCCCATTTTCAGAGGCACAAAGAGGTTCAAATACTGGGTGTAGATGGAGTTGGCCAAAACCTGTAGTTCTGCTACACAGACAAAATGGGTTTTGTGAGATTTCAAGCTCACAAGTTCTGTGCTGACACTGCTGGTAATGCCAGTCTGGCAAAGTCCAGCACGCTGAAAGTTCAGCTCTTTTTGACCTGTGTATCACTGAATTAAGCTCCAGTTGCAAAACCTTCTGCTAGCATTGCAGGAACCTGAACAACAACTTGCTTTAAAATTGCTCAATCAACACAGGGAATGTATAGTTAAAACTTGCTATAGCACTAATCACTGCACTAAACAGATATAAGGAAAACTTAGCTCTAACTTCTCTGTAGCACTCCAAATTATGCAAAGGGAGAGGGTAACAGACAGAATGAGGGCAAGAATACATGGAGAGGATGTCAAACTACACATTAGCTTTTAAATTGTGCAGTATGTGTATTAGTTTGTTATGCAAGTACAATTACAGAGAAACATGTTCTGAGCAGGACTCATTGTTTAATCTTTATCATATTCATGAACCAGCACTTTGCTACAAATATCAGGTCCTTAAGAGTCAAGTATTTATTTGATCTTTTTGATAAATTACAAGCTTAGAAGTCCTTCAGAATTTGGAAACAACTCTCTCCCACCTTAGGTCTCCATCACTCAATAAATACCGTATCTGATCCACCTGGAGAAGAGAGTCATTTAAGCCAGAATAATACATTGCAAGAAATTCCTATACATACCTTGGCCTGGGTAGCTAATCTGCAGGTCATAAATTCATCTCCTACTCCCTGGACCAACTCTCTTAGCTTATTCTGTACATCCTGCAGAAGGTACAGAAAATAATGAGTATGAAAGAACTAAGTAATGCACAGGAAGTTCACACAAGTCTCAGATATACTGCAATAGTAAAAAGCACAACTTAGCAGATACAGCTTTACCCAGGTTAGGTTTAAGGACACACATAATATGTGTTCCCCTAAGAACAGTTATTTTCAGAAAGCTGTATGCCTGGGAAGGGAAGGAGGGAAATTACCTCCTACTTGCAACTGCAGAAATATCTATTGAGAGAAAATTCTTCTCATCACAGGGAGCAACAATGTGTAGGTCAAAAGCAATTCTGAGCTCTGCCCAGCGAAGCAGTTACAGGAAGATATGCAAACTCAAGACCACTGCTAACAAGTACTCACTGAGCCACTGAAGGACAGAAAGAGCTTCAAGAGCACATCTTCTGAGAAAGGGGGATGTCGAGCCACCAGGTTTATGAACCGCTTCAGCGCTCTCCTCCTCGACTCTATGAACTCACGATCAGCTACAGGAAGAACATTACATTTCAATTAATGCACCACAGGGTACAGCTGCTCAGGAAAAAAGGAAAACAGGCCAGTAATTTCCTTGTACTTATAACCCTTGCTAAATAGCACTGCAAGAGACCCAAAGAATGGTCACTTAGAATCATAGAATATTTAGGGCTGGAAAGGACCTTAAGATCATCTGGTTCCAATCCCCTGCCATGGGCAGGGACACCTCAGATTAGACCATGTCACCCAAGGCTCTGGACCTACTTAGCTACTTACCTGTCAGCTCCCTACAACAGATCTTTTGGATTCACCATCACAACAAATAGTCCTTCAAGTGGTTCTTTACATCTCACTGAAACCCAGCATGTATCTACATGTGCTTATTTCCCCTGGGAGGGACAGGTAAGCAGGATAAACAATCAAGTCTAAGGCCAGAAGCCTGGGCATACAAAGATTCTTCTTCCTCTGAATCAGTTCTACAGGCAGTCCCCAGAGGGGATCTCAGTGTGTCTGGGGCTCCAGGGAAACACAGCACAAAGTACTGCCAAGATCACTGCCATTTGCAAAGTGATCATCCCATAAATAACTGTGGGGTGTTTGCTCACTGTTCTGAAGAACTAGCTTCAGTGTGCTGTTCCCTCACCTGTCCCACCTCCACACTGTTAAGCATTTTGGGGGCTAGAGGGAGAAGAAAGGTTTGGGGGAGAAAGGAAAGGGCTGGTTGGTTGGTTGAAGTTGCTTGTTCAAGATCAGTACCCATCTTTTCATTCAGAGATGACTGTTCAATATCAGTAAAGATCTTAAAGATGTGAAAGACTACTCTGGAAGACCTGCACAGCAATCTGCAGTACATCCACCCAAAGTCCTTACTTGTCAAGCTAAAGAAGTTCCACTTGCCTTCCTGAAACAGGAAGAATTTCACTCTGGCAATACTGCAGTGAGGCAGTAAATCAGAGCTCCTGGAGTTTCTCAGGAAGCTGAAAATTTAAGCTAAAATAAAATTGAAGGAAGGTAAAGCAGCACAGAATGAAATTAAAGGAATGCTTTTATCCATAACAACACTCGTAACACTAAAGGGTATTACTCTCTTGCCTCGGTTTTAAGTTGAGGGTTTGCTGGCTGCATGGACTCTCTAGAATGATCCTTTGTACAGTGTCACCCATCAAATGTTTTTTTTTCTGTCATTAGAGATGCAGATCTTGATTTTGCTTCGTTCATGTTTCAGCCTACGTGGAGATTTCTGGAGTCATTGACACACTTCCTACATGACCTGCCTCAGTTTGCTGCAGTCCTCCAAAATGAGCAGAGGAACAATCTTATTCATCTGACACATGGATGAAAATAGACCTTCATGAAAATAAGAGCATAACTTGGTAGAGTAGCAGACTAACTATAAAAAGAACACAGCTTTGCCCACACACCCTGGGACGAAGGAGGTTGCAGGAGTCACACATCAATGCTAATCCATCAAATCCTGTGTCCTGCAATTCCATCTGTCAGGCCATTAACCTACTCAGAAACAGGCATGACCCATTCCATTTCCTTTTTCCTGTTTGTAGTTTCTGCTAAGACCACTTACACAGCTTTTCTATATGCGCAGAGGCACTGGGCTAAAGGCAATCATCACAGTTTTGGACTCTATTCCTAGCATAGATTGGGAACTAATCCTATCAGTTTTTTCTTGAACATATATCTGTGAGAGGCAATTCACTGGTGAGTGCACAGAGATATCAACACCCCAGGAACACAAGGAAATAACAGTGACTGACAAATGATATATATTGGAGGTTTCTTTCAAGCATACTGAGATTAATCAGAGAAGGTCACTTCACTTACAGGTGCCGCATGAAGTGGAAATTCTGCCTGAGAACACTGAATCAGGTCAAATTCAACAGAGGGGTTTTTGCAACCCCAAAAGAAAGGGCTTCACAATTTACATCCCATCATGAGAATCTATGACCACTGAAGCTTTCCAGCACTATTATTTTGCTTTGTTCCAGTTCACTATCCACCTGCTCTGCTCACTGTTTATCAATTCCTCTTTCCTATAGCAATACACTGACTCCTTGACTGAAATAAATGATAGAGTGAAACACAGTAAGCTTAGCAGCATGGGCAGAAAACAAGGCAGTGAAAAGCTTGTTCTTTCACAGACAAAGTATAAAAAAAGATAGATTTTATATAGTTATGCAACATCTGAAATCATAAAGTTTAAAACCAGTGCCAATATTCCAGATTAGTGAAAAAAGGGCCTGAAGGAGCTTTGATACACTTTCAGTCTTTGAATGCTTTGGTGGTTTCTATTCTAACAGCTAAAATATACTTGAGTTAACTGACAAGCTGATTCCAGTCTCAGCTTTTAGCCTCTGGTTATCCTAAGCAGCTCTTAGAATCCCAGACTGGTTCGGGTTGGAAGGGACCTTAAAACTCATCCAGTTCCAACCAGGTAGAAACACCTTTCACTAGAGCAGGTTGCTCCAAGCCCCATCCAACCTGGCCTTGAACACTGCCACGGATGGGGCAGCCACAGCTTCTCTGGGCACCCTGTGCCAGAGTCTTACCGCCTTCACAAGAAAGAATTAGGGGATTTCTAGGACAGCAATAATTCACACCTCAAAGTTGTGTATTACAAACTCAGAGCTGTTTTCTGAGCCAAGCAGAAGCAAAGACTTTTAAACCTATATTTTCTACAGTATCACCTTGCTCACACTGGCACCATGACCCCTCCAGTCAAAAGAGAGACCTAGATTTACCTCCCAGCATCCTCTTTGGTGGAAGTGCCGGCACCATCCGATACGGGAACTTCTGCAGCAGCATCTCATGGAACACCACAAAGTCATTGTATCGCCTGTAGACTGAGCATTTGAATCTCTGCAAGTAAGAAAACAGGGAGAATAAATCAATAAACAGACAGGACAATCATTTCCATGCGGGTTTTTTTGCTATCAGCTGCACTGAAAACAAAAGGAAGAAGGAAATCACACCCAGACACTCCAGCAACGACACATTTCTTCTCTTTAGAGGCATTGTGGTGGGAAAGAGGGAGAAGACTCCAAAAGCAGCCACCTTTCAGTTATGAACAGAGATGGCATTCTTCTAACTGCAGTGTATAGGGTTTGCATGGCAAGATTTTGGTAGTAGGGGTCACAGGGGTGGCTTCTGTGAGAAGCCCCCAGAAGCTCCCCCTGTGTCCAACAGCACCAACACAGCCAGTTCCAAAACAGACCTACCAAGGCTGAGACCATCGCCAACAGCAGAAGTGCTTCTGGGATAACGCATTTAAGGGGGGAAAAAAGATGCTGAACAATTGAAAGATGAGTGAAAATATGTCAGAGGAACAGCTCTGCAGACACCAAGGTCAGTAAGGAAGGAGGGGAGGAGGTGCTCCAGGAACTGGAGCAGAGATTCATTCCCTGCAGCCTGTGGTGCAGACCATGGAGAGGCAGGCTGTGCCCCTGCAGCCCATGGAGCTCCACAGTGGAGCAGGTATCCCCCTGCAGCCCATGGAGGACCCCACAGTGGATCAGGGGGATACCCAAAGGAGGCTATGACTCCATGGGAAGCCCACACTACAGCAGGCTCCTGGCAGGACCCACGGCTTCATGGAGAGAGAAGCCCACGCTGGACCAGGTTTGCTGCAAGAGCTGTGACCCCACAGGGGCCCACTCTGGAGCAGTGAGAACTGCAGCCCATGGGAAGGACTCAGGTTGGAGGAGTTTATGGAGAACTGTCTCCCATGGAGGGAGATCACGCTGGAGCAGGGCAAGAGTGTGAGGAGCCCTCCCCTGGGGAGGAAGGAGCAGCAGAGACAATGTCATGAACACAGGGGGAGTAGACAGAAAAAATCTGGAGTGAAGGTAAGCCTGGGAAGAAGGAAAGGGTGGAGGGAAGGTGTTTTCAGATTTAGTTTTATTTCCCATTATCCTACTCTCATTTGATTGCTAATAAATGACACTAATCTCCTTAAGTCGAGTCTGTTTTGCCTGTAACAGTAACTGGTGGGTGATCTCTCCCTGTCCTCCTCTCAACCCATGAGCCTTTCATTCTGTTTTCATTCCCCTGTCTAGCTGAGGAGGGAAGAGGTACAGCAGCTTTGGTGGGCACCTGGTGTCCAGCCTGATCCCCCACATGAAGTCCTTTTGAGAGTAAGATTTTCAGTTAAAAAACACAACTCAGATTTCATTCACGCACAAGATGAAAGAGACCATGAAACGGAGAGGAAGAAGTTCACCCAGAAATCACAAATATCCCTAAATCTGCTGTGATTCCATGCCATTGCTCCCTCAAACTGCCTGGTCTTCCAAATTACACAGAACATTTAGAAACAATGCTGACATTTTTAAAGTGCTCTAGAGAGTTCTTGAAGTACTGCAAGTCCTCGAGTTCCAACTCTTAGGAACCGTCTCTAAATCAGTTTCAAATCCAAAGGTGGCAGAACAGTCCTAGATCACATTAAGTATCAGCCCAAATGACTGATGTTTTAAATGAACCTCACAGGAGGCCTCTCACTGATGTCAGATCTATAAACAAGATTGAAAGTTCCTTTAAAAGCTTAGTCCTTCACTCTGCATTTCTTACATCGATAGGTAGAAGATGCCAAAGAAACTGGGTTTTCATTCCAAAAGCAGTGAAGCAGCAGCTAGAACAAGACATTTACGAGGCAGGAATCCTTGTAAAAACAATGAAAACCCCACAACTCCCACACATTATTACTACAGATTCAACTATTATAGCAGCTAATAAAAAACACTACACAACACCATACTTATTCTCACTCCATTTGCATTGCACATCATCCACCACTCACTGTGGCACTGTGCATTACCAAAAAATAAGGCAATGAGGCATATAACTGGAGCCCAACAGACACAGCTCCAGGGCCTCTCTCCGCTTTTGAATCTGATGTTGATTTGCATTACAGATCTCAGCTGAAGCTCAGGGCCAAGCTATGCTGCTTTCTGAGAAGGTATCATTCTACAGAGACAACTGCAGGAAAGCTGACAGCAACTGAAAAGAATTGATAATGGGTTCCTAAACTTTAATAGTAGAGAGACCACCAGAATCACTGAGTCCTGTGCCCTGAAATCAAGGCAAAAACAGACACTGAGCCCCAGAAAGCCACAGAAGCAGCCACTGTGAATGAATCTGCCCCCTTCCCCTCACGCAAGTCTCTGACATACTTAGAGATGTCACTCTAAAACACCAACAGCCCCAACATCACTACAGACAAGTGACCCAAATGTGCCACTGAAATATGTACAAGTGACTAAAGCAGTTTGAGCACCACTCAACAACTGACATTTTGGTGGCCTGGGAGATGTGAATTGCCCATGGTCTGCTTTGAAAAGGACAGATTTCCTTCTTGGAAGAAACACACAGGAGCTATTCCACTGCCTGCTCTATAAATAGGAAAAATATATCATTTTCAATCTTCTCTTACACCAGGAGAGAAACCCACAGGTCAGCGTCGGGGCAAGTAAACTGGAAGCAGCCTGGCCTCTGCAGGATTTGCAGTACCTTTTCTGCCTATAAAGGATTTCAGTTTAGCACTGCCAAAATGATTTCTTCACTAGCTGAAAACAGTTTGACCTTCCTAGTTGCCTACACCAATCCATTACAAAAACATCCAGTTTTCAGTGTTCTACATCTGCTTTTGCACAGAGGTTTCAAACTCAAGGTTTCGAGTGAGCAAACAGCATCCACCAGACCTCAGATAGAAGAGGTTTCATACTGCAGAAGCCCAGGTCAAGAAAGCATAATACTACTGCATTAAAAGCAAGCTTATACAACTGGCCTACTCAAAAGCATCATCACCCAACACATCTATCAAGACTTTGCCAACAGCAACTGCAGAGACATTAAGAGAACACACTCACTAAGACCAATGCTTGTTCACATTACCTTGCTGGAAACCTCGTATTCCACATGTTTCAGAAAAAGGCCCTTCTTCTCAGGTATAAGCTCCACCTGAACACTATCCTTGCTCAATAGCTCTTGTAGGGTGTGGGAAAGCAGCAGTGGATTTCCCTGCGGCGCCTGCATTAGGAACTGCTCCGGTTCCCTCGGTTCATTTACTGGAGGCTTTGCCAAATCTAAAAGACAAAAAGGAAAAAACAATCCAGTAGACCTGATAAGATAACGTGAAAAGAAGTAGCCTCAAAATATTCTGTGCCCTTGTTGGCTGCTCCCAACAGTGGTGCAACACCACCAGAGCAACAGGCAAGCCACTCCCAGAGGAGGCTATGCCACTTCACACACGTTCAAGACACTGGTACCTCCCTCTTCACAACACCCAGGAGCACCACGAATTACACAGAGCCAGAAAGACATCTTTACTAAGCAAAAGAAGCAGCACAGGCCAAATTTGTTCTGTGAATCAGCTAAGAGGCCTGCATTTCCTGTCTGTCCAGCTCCCACCACAGCAGGATCTGGCAAAATGAATGAAAGCCTAGCTCAGCACTTTTGGATCCTGCCTAGAACAACTGATGGAAGGAAAGAAAATGTGTGATTTTACTGCGCTGCAGAAATGTAATACATTAATTTTATGTCATTCCAAAGGAAGGAGACACTTCATTTGACAGAGTTCTTATTAAACCCTGTGACAGTAGGCTACAGTGGGTTTGAACTACAATAATTTGCTATGTCAATACACTGAAGTTCAAGAGCAGGGGAAAAAGGTTCCCAATTAAGAGCTACCAACCCACAGCTCCTCTGCCACAGCCATCTCTGCCAAAATCTTTCAAACATACTTATTCAACTGCTCGCAGCTAAAAGTCAAACAGCATTTGACAGTGAATTCAACCATTGCTGGATGGGTTTAGACAAAGAGATTCTGATCCCCAGACACATGCAAAAATGACAAAGATGCTCTTAGGAATATGGCCCTGGAGGACAAACTACATCAAAGCAGCAGCAAAGATGGTGATGCAGAGTCCTCCCTTATTGAATGACTGACTGCAGCCCATTAGCTCAACTTGACTTCATAACTACACATATGCAACCATATACTAAGCTTACATTGTTTTCCAAAGCACTCCTTTTCCCCTACCCACTTCATACATAAGAGAGTGAAAAGAATCTACTCAACCCACACCCAAGTTCTGTTCTCCAGCCTGGAACATGTGGGTTGCTCCCTCTCTGTATATGTCTATTGAAGAGGGACACTGCGAGCAAGCTCTCTGACAAAGCAAGTTAAATCCACTGATGATAGTTACCTAGACAAGCTGGGCAGCATTAATCTCCTGCCATTGTACAAGAGATATGCCCCTTCTTAAACATATCTACAATTCTGAGACACAAAAAGAAAGGAACACAACAGAAGCAAGAACCATTTCTTTAAGCTTTGATACATAGTTCAAAAAGTTGACAACTGTAAGAGATTAACTCAGGGAAGATAAGAACACATATCCACAACTTGAAAGCCCTGGCCTCCTCCTGATAAGGCTTTCCCACCTGTTTCTTCATGTGCTCTAGGTCCTGATAAATGGGGGAAAACAAGTAATCTCCAATTCCTTAGATACACAGCTTCAGAACAGACACTTCATTCTTTGTTCCATAAAACAGCTTAAGGAAACCAAACCAAATCCAGGACAAGTGACCTTATCCCACGTGTCCCATCAGGTTTCAGATTCCTGTTAACGTGACTCAGAGAAGCAAGTCTTAACACCTCTGCTTTAATAGACTCACCTATCACCTACCAACCGCACCTACACAGGGGTTACACAGCAGCTTCTGAAAAGTTCAAGCTACCTGCCAGAAATTTGTAGCAAGATAATGCAAGTTAATTCAGTGTTGACATGGAATACTGCTGGCTAAAGCCATAATACATCTGTACAGCCGCTTTTCAGATAGGTGCTGAACTGCAAAGGAAACGAGGAAAGCACATACAGAATACAGATATCAAGGCAAAATATTTGACCTTTCACAGGGCAGCGAGGTATGATGAACCACACTGTCAAAAGGAAGTGTCAAAAATACACCCACAAAGAACTATGGGAAGCAGGAGACAGCCTCAGTTTTCCAGAGCAGCGGTTCTCTGGGTGCACACCCTTGTAATTCATGGGTTTAATTGCTCAAGACACATCAGCAAAATGCAACATGACATGAGAGATCTGCTGCTCCAATGCACGCACACTCACACAGAATTCCACAGTCCAATGGGATGCTAAAGCACTCGCAGCCAGTGCAAGCTAGCTCCCAGAGAGGGACTAGCCAAAACTGCAGCACACCTATTTCCCTGAGAGCAGGGCCAACCTGTACTAACACAGCACTCCTGCCTATTGATTCACTCTCCCTGTTTCTATCTTTCTGCCCGCCAACCAACAAAGCCAGGTTTCCATGGCACAAACTGTTCCCTAATGCGTGGCTCAGCACTGTCTGGTGAACTACTGAAACTCCCAGTGGCAAAAGGTAATCATTGGAGAAAAGATTTATAGGATGAACCATGAATCCTTCAGGATCTCATCTGTAAGTCCTGGAGCCTGCTGCATGATCAGCCAAACCCATGGCGAGGCCTCTCTGATTCTTTACAATGGTCTGAACCCACATTACCCTGTAAGAAACTGAAATGAAGCCCCATAGAGAGACCCAGGCATTCCTTTGACAATTCACTCACGTGGCTCTTTTCACTCGTAATACTTTGCCAGTTTTCATCAAGTTATTCTCTAAATTTGCTTTCTAAAAGCTCACCTACAGGAAATGCCTTTGTTTTTATCAGCAGTTCACACACTGGGCTCTTCCTGAAACATTCTGTAGCTTCTTTAGATCTCACCCTTGTCTAAATGTGTGAAATCATATAAATCAGACAACCATACAAACAAGGGTGAATAATTACTGTTTAATTAATAATCTCAGCATGTTCCATATCACCAAGAGAGCTACTTGGAGTGAATTTAGAGCCTCAAACACTGGTCTGAGAACACAAGAAGATGACTTTGGAACAGCTGTTAACCTGTTTTAGAAAACACTTAATCACAGCATTAACACTAACCCTGCAGAGCAATATATACTGAAGCTATTCTTCAGCCCATTTTCATCCTACTTACTAAAGAGTCAATTCAGGAACAGCCTCAGGAGCCCTGGCCAGGAATGGTGGATAATAGTGGGAACTCATTGGTATGAAAGCCCATTTTCAACCAGTAAAAAGGTTTACATGCATTGTAACAAAACACTTAATGCTTCCCATCACGCTCTCTCTGCTGGAGAACAGTGAGTTTGGAAAGCATTCCCTTTGGTTTCAGCAGATCATTATCTGCTGCAAAGTTTATGTACATGGAGTAGCAAGTGAATACAGAAATGAGGTATGGAATGGCCCCCTGGAACTCAGGGAAGCAGGCAAAATCAAAATCAGCTCGTTTTGCGCAAGCTAGGCTTTCCCTACAGCAGTTTCTCAATCTGTTGTCAATAAAACACCACAAAGTGGTCTGGGATAACTGAAAACAATTTGATATAAAAGTTAAAAAGAATATATGTCTGCATTCATATGCAAACAAGAGGATAAGAAGGTAAGAAATAAAAGTTTAAAGAAGCAATTCAAAGCACAGACTTAGTTCTGTTTGGTTGTAAAACAAAACAAATATGAAGCTACTGCATAGTACTTCCTTATTTTAAGGCTTTTTTCCCTGGGAAAAAGTTAGGCAGCCTTTGGACTGAAAGGCGTTGAGAAACTTACACAGGGTACTACAGCAAAACAAAGCTTTGCTACTTTATACCACACATTTCGCACTTTAGTTGGTGTTCAATGTTTGTGATTGCCATTCATAGGATCAGACACCAAACCACCCTCCACAGTGATCAGTTTCCTCCATCAACATTTCTAAGATCATGCATTTATGAAACCCAAAGTAGAATTTCAAGTGCCTGGTGAGCTGCACAGAGGTTTTACATGTGAGCAAGCACAGAGCAGAGAAGGGCAACGTGAGGGCTAAAAGCATAGGTGGTAAATCACAACACAGACCTCCCTTCCCTATTTAAGTTCTGTCAACTGAACTTGGAAGCCTTATCTCCATTTACAGATGGATGGTACTAACAACTCTTTATCACACCAGGGTGCTAATCAGCTAAATTTATTAGACACTTAAGTAGAGGGTACCATAGAATTACTTATTACATTAATAGCAGATATGCTAGAAGGAGAAAAGAGTCTGAACGGAAGCAAAGCCTTAAAGAAAAATAGCCAAGGTTTATTCTCCATCCTCACAGGCCACGGCCATGTGGAGCAGAGGTGATCCAGCTCACAGGAAACAGAGGGCAATGTGAGAACTGTCTGGCTTCGTACACAGATACCTCAGATTTCTCCCTAGCAAAAAATGAGGGCTCCAGTACAGACTCCTAAGCCAGGAATACTAAAGCAGCAATGTAAATATATCATTCATCAGCATTTCCCCTTCCTTTCTGTCTTCTCATGAAAAGCCTCGGGAATAATGGAAATGCCCTTCCCCCTTATCATGCCAAACATACTCTTCCATAATTCCAGAATTCAGTGTCCACACCAACTTCTCTGAAGGCTGATGCGGATTTCAGCAACTTCAAATAGACTCTTTTCCTTTTAATTCTTACATGATTTGAAATCCCCTAAAGACAAGCAAAGAAAAAGAGAAGTTCCCCCCCCCCCCAAAAAGGGCAAACAAAACTTTCTTCCCTTTAAGAGCTTTATATATCTTTTGAGACAACTGTATGTGATTTGTTTGGTGTTTTAAGGAACTTAAACCCATGCAACTCTTATTTTGAGAGAAGCAATGCAAAGGAATCAGTCTATTTTATCTAACAAAGTTAACTGACACACAGATCTATGTCCAACGTGGCAAAAAAGTCCATGTTTATCACTAGGTACAAGCAATCGTATTTAGCTGCATTCTAACTATAAGATGGTGCAATAGTGCCCTCCCTTCTCCCTTCCCAACAATTCACTTGCAAACACAAGCTATCCAATGCCAAAACAAGTTCCTAAGATACATACACTATCATAAAATTAGATGATGGAAAACAGGCTCTAACGTTTGGGGTTTCTCCTTCAAAAACAACACAAGAAGCCAACACTACCACAGCTCTCTCAGTGCGCATGTCAAATATGCATCCTGTGCTTGCTGCGCTGGAGGTTTTGGGTTGGGTTTTTTTTCTTTTGGTTGAGCTTTCTTCCCTTTGTTTTTCAGGTGCTGGGGTTTTCTGGTGCCTGTTTGAGGTTTTGATTTTGTTTTGTTGTTTGGGTTTTTTTCCAACTCAGTTTAAGACTGCTGTTGAGCACTTGCACTTGGTGCATTTCATGATGAAGCAAAGAAGTAACAGCACAACTCAAAAGTAGATGAGGTTATCTAAGCTTTGTTTAATAATGATTTAAAAGCACTTGCATTTCTGCATTCCCCTACAGCTGTAGGCCTTTAACTGGTTCTCAAAGTACCACAATCACTACTACAGCAGGAAAAAAAAAACCCTCCAACAAGAAGTTATCTCCTTCCAACACCACACAGTAAATCTGTGTGACAGAACAAGAACTAGCTTTAAGCCTAGTAGCCTGTTGTTTTAACTATGCCATTACATCCTTAAGTGATCGATTTCCCAAGTGTGGGAATACATGGAACACAGACCATTCACAAGACAGCATGGAGCCACAGTCCCAAACTTACAATAAAGTGAGATGGAGCTGCACACATTGAAGAATAACAGGATTAGGGGAGGAAAAAAATCCATCAAGGAATGTTCCCAAAGGCTACAGAGACAAAACATCAACCGCTTGCTGGGGCAGTTTCCCAGCTCACACAAGAAGATTCCTAAACTATCATTTTTCCCACCCAGCTCTAACAAAAAGGCTGGAAGTGTAAAAATTCACATCCAAAACAGGAACCCAACAAGCAATGACACACAGAACTGTACTCCAGGAAACTTTTACAAGGGCATTTTGGCTTAACTACAAAACCGCCAAGTTTCCACCACCATCCTTCCTTAAACTCGTCAAGAAAAATCCCATCGGAAGAAACTGTTTATCTCCTTGGTTTGCTTCTCATCTTCCAGGCACGTTTCTCACCCTCTTAATTACACTGGGGGAAAACTTGATCTTGGCATCTAAGCATTAAAATAACTATGTGCCACCCCACACATGACAGTCTCCCAATAGTCTTTTCACACATTTTATAGTTAGAACAAGATCATTCACATCTCAAATAGTGTTGAAAAGCAATCAAAGCTTCTCTGTTTCTGTACCAGCTCCACATGCGTAACTAATAAATTTCTCTCCATCAACCTGCACTAAAACTTGAAGACTGCGAAGGAACCTGGAGTGGTTATGTGCGATTTCTACTGTCTGTAATGGGTACAGCCCTCCCTACCAAGTCCTCCTACATGCTGCACACACAGTTAAAGAGTTAACATTAGAAGAAAATGGGAAACCTCTCTTCCCAGCCAACACACCTGGATTAGCTCTCTGCAATCACTGCAAACCAGGCTCAAATGGGAGCAAAACCAGTTACCTACGGGTGTGAAACTTCCAACACGGCTGAACCCTCACCATGATGACAGAAATAAAAAGGTTCTGGCTTTAACAGAGTTATTTTTCTTTCGCTAAGATCATCAGATACCTTCTCTCAGTGTTCACGATAGCATCTTGGTCAAAGAAAGCTGAGTTTTCTAGATAAGGTGAGTAGATCAGACAGAAGCACCATCACCAGTGCAGAAGTTAATCAGATCAAGAATACTCAGAGTCAGCTGGTTTATCTCTATCAGGCTCCTGAAGCAGACAGTAAATCCATAATAGACATACCTGAACAAGCTCTCTCTTTGGTACAGTAGGACATTTTTTCCACAAAGGCTGCTGCTCAATATCTTATATCAGTCCTGGACAGAAATATTCCAAAATAATTTATTTATAAAGCATTATCTGCATCAGGAGCATCACAGGCCTATCAAAAACACACACACACTGGGCTCTGAGTATAACCCAACCAAACTATCCTTCCTTGCATAAAGCTTAACCACTTGTAACCTCTACTGGTTCTTCTTTCCAAATAGAGGGGAAAAACTGCTGTGCGCAGAGCAGGAATTGCCGGTATGAAACTTCAGCCACGTTAAAAGAACTTTAGAGAGCTGTTAACACCCCGTTCCCCACTAAAAGCTTTCCTCGGTTTAACTGTTACAAGCCGAGCGCGTTACCTTCTTCATTCACCCAGGACCTCCCTCCATTGCTCATTTCACAAGCGCTGGCACCAACTTTCTTCTACGAGGCCATGTCAGCGCTCGCGGACGCCTCAGCCGCATGCCCCTCCAGAGGGACGGTCCGGTCCCGCTCCGCGCCCATCCCCGTCCCAGCCGTCAGGCTCCCGGGAAGCAGACCCAAAGCCAGCAAGTCCTCACTCCCTGGGGGGGGAGGGCTCCCCCTTATTCACCCTCACAAGGGGAGGGGAACCCACCGCGACCCGGCCACCGCAACGGCCTGGCTGCGGGGTAATTTCGCTGCGAGTCCGGGCCCGGCCCCCACCGCCCCAGTGGGGAGCGGGGCAAAGCGGCGCCTTTTTACCTCAGGTTTTGGCGGGGAGCCCCCTCACCCTGCCCGCGTCCCGGCCGGAGGCACCGCGGCGGTGCCGAAGCTGTGAGCGGGTTGCAACACCCCCACCCCCGCCCGCCTCCGCCCCGTACCTGCGCCCTCCGTGCCCGCCGGTGGCTCGCCGTCCATCGCGGCAGCAGTCATGTGAGGCCGCGGCCCGCCGCCGCCGCCCTCCCCTTCCTCCGCAGCGCCCGCCTGTCAGCGCGGGCGGAGAGGGCGGGGAACGGCGCGGACGGGGCTGCTCCTGTGGTCACGGTGCCGCGGTGGGCTTCGGTCGGTGACAGCGCCTCACGGTAACGTCCCCGGGGGGGGGGGGGGCGGGCGGCGGCACCGCAGCTCGCCGCGGCTGTGCGGGCGCAAGGAGAGGCAACGGGCCGTCCCTGCGGTGGAGCGGGCTGCTCGGAGCGCCACTGAGACACTCGGGGTTAATGATAAACGTTCCGAGCATTGTAAAGCATGGGGAAAGGCGTGATCCGCTCATGGGCTGAGGACAGAAGTCATAGTGAAATCAAATTGACTTTTCCCCCCCTAAAACTGCGAAAGGCGGTTGTTGGGAAGGTGAACTGCAGGCGTGTTTCGTTGTGCACTACGAAAAGTGGATAAAGCGTTGGAAGTGGTGGTAAGACAGTCCTTTCAGTACCTGGTGATGGATGGGAGGGCATACTTTGTATGCCAAGCCAGATGAGAGAATCCAAGACAATTTTTGGTGTATTTTCCTTCATTGAGTAAACTTTTCCCACCTTGAATTTCTGCTGCTATCTCATCAATCAATCAATCAGGGTGTTTGCTATACATAGGATGCTTGACATTTTGGATTTCATTTGGATATATGAAACATTCTTGATGATAAATTAGAAGTAAATGTTAAATGTTTCTCCAAAGGAAAAAACATTGCAGCATTTTTTACAAGGGCCTGTAGGGACAGGAGAAGGGGGAATGGCTTTAAACTGACAGAAGGGAGATTGAGATGAGCTCTTACACAGAAGCTCTTCCCCGTGATGGTGCTGAGGCGCTGGCACAGGGTGCCCAGAGAAGCTGTGGCTGCCCCATCCCTGGCAGTGTCCAGGGCCAGGTTGGATGCGGCTTGGAGCAACCTGGTCTAGTGGAAGGTGTCCCTGCCCATGGCAGGAAGTTGGAATTGGATGAGCTTTAAGGTCCTTTTCAACCCAAACCATTCCAGGATTCTATGACTTTATGCCATACACCACAAGGAATGCATGACAAAGGCAAATATGGTAGAAACAAACAATCTGTCCAGGCAAGTACAGAAATACAAGCATTTGGATGCACAAACACCATCTAGAACTACAAAAAAAACAAGAATTTCAGGTATGAACACCTCTTATTTTATTAGTAATTTTCCACTTCCTCGTCAGGAATGATATGGTTGACCCTGTGAAAGATAAGGCAAACGTTCTGTATAGTGGTTGTCCTGAAAACACCATCAAACAAGCAAGAAACAAAAATCCATAAAGACTCTGGACCACATTAAGATGTTTACCAGCCCATAATAACACTTTCTGGTTTTAACATCCAAAGTATCAGATGCATTCAGTAATTAATGCTCCTGATACTTAACCATGGGAAGATAAATAGTTATCTTCAGTGGAACTAAGCCAGAAAATTAGAAAGTGAGAACCATTTCAGGTGTGATTACAGTCCTAACGCTCCCTCTAGAAACTTCCCCTGCAGCAACAAAGATGGGACTGATGTGAGTGATTCTCCTTTTCCTTCTGCCTGGTGCTATTTGAGCCGAGATCGCAGACTAAAGCTGTGTATAGAATTCAAGAAAGTGTGGCATTATTGAAGCTGAGAGGCCCTTCAGCTCGTGTCTACAGCAGCAAGTGGAGAGTTCTGCATGCTCAGCACTTCCAAACACTGAGCACTCCAGGATTTTTCGCCGATATAGCACTTTTGGAGCAAATGAATGGAAGAATCAACATGTTCTCATTTAGCTATAGATTTCTGATTGGTCTGTACTTAAGCTAATAGCTTAACTATTTATTTGGTATAAATAAGACATTCTCAGTTGAAGATTGTTTTTGCCAGCCATGGGAGGAGCCTTGACGAAAAATACTATGAAAAATAATTCAATTGCAGAAAGTATTTCTGAACAGGGCCGGAAAGATCGTGCTTGACATGAGTTATTGCTGTGAATACAGCAAAAGCCTCTGCAAAACCGACAGCATAGAGAAACTACAATCACTGGGAAAGGGAGGGAAGGGGAAAAGGAGAGGAAGGGACATGTCAGCAGGTTCCAAGCAACAAATGCAATGCAGAAGTACATGAAGAAGTACGCCTCTCAGTGCGTCACTCAGTGCACGTCCTATCAGCATGAGATATTTCATGCAGCCCACAAGAGCTCACTTACTCTTTCCAAACTCAGTTTAGGAAGCAGGGCTGTCAGCTCCATCATTCTCAAATCCCTTGCACCCAGTAAAATTCATGAGGCATTACTAGTTTGACAGTTGTGTTACAAAAAGCCATTCCTGGGAGATTTCTTCCACAAAATTTCCCATTGATTAGGAGGTTTGCGTGGGGAATACTGACAAGAAGAGGCTTCAGCTGCCAGTGCCAAAATCTCTGGGTTTAATAGCTAATCGACTCACCCTCAGATTGCTGAGTAAGGACTGGAAGAATAGCAATGAGACAGTAGCACAGGGACTGAAGGGAAATTTTAATGGAAGGGGAAGGAAGGAAGAGAAGTCAAGGAAAGTGGAAATGGCAGCCCACGCAAAGACAGGAAATGAGAATCCAACATTTAGATTCAGTGTTTACCTTAAAAGTAGTAGTTAGCTTGCTAACAAAGGTAATAGGCAGAAATTCCACATTCCAATATAGGCAACCAAGACAATGATGAAATATAGGGAAGAGAGAGAGCACCTATACGCTCCTGGAAAGAGCCATGTAATCTTGAGGGCACAGCTTGAGGGACTATGGATCAAACTGCAGTGTGTCCTCCCTCACGTTTGGATAAACACACTGTTGTGACAACGGGAGAGGGAACAGCACTTCACTGTTCATACACTTCTGTTACAAACCAGGAAGTCAAAGCCTGGTCAACTACCATGATGTAGCGAGGGCTAAAAAATAACTGCACAAAGTTCCAGTCATCGTTTCCATTCATGAACACTGCCCAACACAGGGGATTGACACCCTTACCCAGTAAGTTTGAGTGGAGTTAGTCTGCCATCTCTTGACCAGATGATAAATTACAGAACGGGGGTTTCTTAGTTTAAGTTTTTAAGCATAGAATCAGTTACCGAGGAAAAGACCTTTAGGATCGTTAAGTCCAAGCATTAACCCAGCATTGCAGAGTCCACTTTAAACCGTGTCCCCGTACACCACATCTAGATGTCTTTTTAAATCCCTGAAGTGATAGTGACTCTACAACTTCCGTGTTCCAATTTATAGAATCATGGAATAGTTAGGGTTGGAAAGCACCTTAAGATCATTCAGTTCCACTCCCCCTGCCACGGGCAGGGACACCTCACACTAAACCATCTCACCCAAGGCTCTGTCCAACCTGGCCTTGAACACCGCCAGGGATGGAGCATTCACCACTTCCTTGGCCAACCCATTCCAGTGCTTCACCACCCTCACAGTAAAAGAACTTCTTCCTTATATCCAATCTAAACTTCCCGTTTAAGTTTGAACCCATTACCCCTTGTCCTGTCACTACAGTCCCTAATGAAGAGTCCCTCCCCAGCATCCTTATCTTAAGCAAAAGCTCCTGCTGTAGCACTCTAGGGAGAAAAACACAAACTTCTACAGATACCACAAAGGAACTACACACTGGGACAACCGAAAGCATTATCAGAACATGAACAATACTCCAATATAAAATAGGGTCTAAATGCTGAGTGCAATACCTGTTCTGCTCTTCTCATGGACATTTTGTGCTGGCATTTTATGGTTTTGATGATTTGTTTGAAAGCACTGAGCTAAAAGAAAAACCTACACATAATGTTAACTGGATTCACAAAACGTTCATCCTGAAGTAAACCCTCATGAACTGGTCCTTAAGAACTGACCTTTTTTCCTCCAAAACATCACCAACACCTCAAGATGGCATCCAAGCCAAATTCCAAGTTCACGTTTTCACTTTGCATACGTTATATTAGCATGCATACTGAAAAAAATGGATACTTTACATATTTTTGTATCAACCTGAGGAGCCCAAAACAGGAGGCAAGAGTTTAATTGATAAAGAGAGCTCAGGTTGCTCCCATTAGCAGTCAGCACGAGAGAACTTTTACAAGTTTAAAACTCATACTAAGGTAGGATTGTGCAAGGGAACGCCTCAGGCCACTGGAAGACACTAGAGAGGGATACACCTTCTCCTCTGTACCACCGCACCGGGAGACCAGCGGGTTCCCTGCCCCTGTGGAGGGCTCCTCCCGCGAACCGGTGCTCCGGGATGGCGAGTGCCATTTTTTTTACCTCACATAAAAAGGTATCTAAAACCTACAAAGGTCCTGCAGGGACTAACACAGCGCTTAGAGCCCGGCCGGCACATCCAACCCGCGGCTCAGCCGCTTGTTAACAACTCCATCCATTACCCGAGCCGCTCTGCCCCGCCGTGCGCCCGCTCCGGCCCTGATGTGGCGCCTATCGCCGGGCCATACCATGGGGAGGGGAGCACCGCTGGTTCCGTCTGCGCGGCCCCTTAAAACAAACGCGTTGGTGTCGGTATTTCCCCCTCTACACGAATTTGGTAGCTCCCATGTGTCCATGGCAAGCTTTCGGGCGAGCCCATGGCTGAAGGTTTGGAGGGGAAAGAGTGTGCAGGTTTTGGATCAGGATGCTGCCTTGTCACCTTCCGCCTAAAGCTGGAAAAGAAAACACGCTGAGGTGCCGAAATCGCAGCAAGGTTTCGGTCCACCTCAGCGCAGTTAAATGCCACAGCGCCTCCCGCTTTCTGCTTCCAGATAAATGGTTCGGCCGAACCCCACCTCAGAAGGATGGGAAGAGGCGCCATCTTGGGCTCGACCACAGCGACGCACGAAATAGGGGGAGCCACGACTGTTGTACGTCGAGTAGGAGTAGAAGCCGCCTCTAGATGAGAGAGGAGCGGGCTGAGAAGAGGACACCGGCCGCCTCGGAGCAGAACGGGGAGGATACAACAGCGGTGAGCAGCCGCTGAGGCGGGTCCAGGACTTAATTCCGACATCCCCCCTCCCGCTCCATGCCTGTTGGTAGGCGCCCCCGCGCG